AATTAAAGTAACAAAGTTATAGCCCTTTAGAAGTTTGAGTACCGCCCTGTCTCAATAATAATATTATGTGCTCGTGTTTGGCAACAACGGATATACCGGTTCATCGCATCGGAAACAAAAAAGCGAAAGAATTTGACACGTTTATCACGATGTTTTTCGTCATTCGGTAACGCGTAAGTGAATAGTGGTGTTTGTTGCGAGGCTCAAACGGAATAAAAAATGGCACATGTTTACGAAAATGCTCAACTTGTGGACATGATTCTTATTTACGGGGGGGGAGTCTTTACAAAATGCTGCCGCGGCATCACGGATTTGTGCGAATCGGTTTCTCAATCGAGTGCAACCAACCCCTCGTGCCTTTGTTAATGTAGTACAAAGGGCTCGTGAATCAGGTGACTTAAGACCTCACAGGGGAGAGCATGCCGGTGCTCCAAGACCGCACGATCAAATACAGGTCCGCACTGAAATACTTGTCGGGAGGATACTTTATAAAACAAGGTAACATTTTTTTTTTATTTTTACACACATATTTTGGTTTATCTTCCTTCTACAATCATTATCTGAAAATTAATGACTCAACTTCAAAGTCACCCTGTATAAGTAGATACCGTTCACACTTCAATGAAACTTTGAAACAAAGTACCACAATGGCAATGATGATGAGCAGCTCTGTCGTTACAGCCGGTACTGGTCCAGCAGCAACGGACTCATGAATAAAAAACAAAAAGAATACAATAATGGGGCGACTTATAGATAACGAGGTTTTGCTTTCGCCTCTGGGTGAAAGATGCCACAACTAGCCTTCGTCGAAACGGAATATGCTATACCAGTTCATTTGAAAGCTTCCCACCACGGATTTATTTCCATACCATAAATTAGAATAATTTCCACTATTTCAGCTAGTGTGCTAACCATTTTGGAAGTAAAATCTGAATCAATAAATTAATTTTCACACAATATTCTCACAAAGGTTCGCCCAGGATATCTGTGTTGATGAAAAGAATGTGGAAAAATTCGGGTTGTTATTTGGTTGTCACTACGTCTAATCTTCCAAATTGCTCTTTATGTTGGTAGTTTCCGATTTAAATTATAAACGAATTGTAGATTTGGCAAGCCCTAACGGGCAACATTTTGAACACTTATTGAAATAAAAAGTGATATTTCGAGTGTTTTTACTTTCTATCTGAACAAATTAAGATAAAGAATTTTCTCAAAAACGAATTGACTGATTTTGGAAAATCAAACGTCAAAATAAAGGATTCAAAAGACCTTTCAAACAATCTATTACTCGATACCCCTTGTCATTTAAATTTTTTAAGCGGATGACCCTGGTGGGCAGACAGAAGAAGGGGGTGAATTAGTTACTGGTTAAAAAGTTGTCCCCTTTGACAAATCTTTTGACGTGTCTCGGCGTTTTTTTCTTTTAATCAGTCGTTTACGATAAATCCGTGGTGGGGGGTTTTCAAATGAACACCCTGTATATCTGGTAACGCAATAAACATGCTAGGCATAATGTATGCTAAACATTGTTTCATAGATAAAATAATTTATTGAAAACGCTATTGGTTCCTTGGCGATGTAATGCGATTCCGAGGTGAACAGGTGATACAGGGTGTTTAGTACATACCTGTGAACTGAAAAAAAAAATGGATAGTTTGGGAGACTGTTTAATAATTTTTGTTGATAGCCGCATTATACTTTAAGTGCTACGGTTACCGAGATATATTGTAGCGTTTTTCTGGGTTTTTGTGGGTATGGATTAAAAACACTGGATTCCACAAAAAGAAATGCATAATTTTTTTTAACTTGACTAAACAGAACATTTATATACACCATTATTTATGTCTGACTATTTATTTAAGAATTAGCATGTCGCATTATTCACTGAACTATACTCTACTCTTCTCTGCTTCCATCTCCTGCATCACACGTACTCTTTGATTCGAGAAGACTCCGGTGAGCCACAAAGTGGCAGTCTAGAATCTTCGAGCTCACTTCGCGTCAATCTAGAAGGCGAGTCACTGACACGGTCTTCAACAGATGTCGCCACCGAAGGTCAGTCTCTGGCACGGTCCCCAACACAGATCGGTCATGAAGCTCTAGCGAGTAGGAGATAGTGATGCAAAGTTTCGTTACTTTTTAGGACTTGTAAGGACTCGTTACTTTCGAACTTTGGACTCGTTAGTTTAGTTACTATTTGGACATTTCGTTTAGAACCTAAATTCTATATATTATATCAAATTATTACTTTGGGATTGATCCAATTATTATTTTTTGTCTAATGCCTTGCCTATTAATTTTTTTGATATTTGATACGTAGAAGGTACTTATATTTTAAACTCGTCGTTGTGTGACGTCTGGTTCGTTGGCTGTACGCTGTAAATAGTTTTTAACAAGTGGCATACCAGATGGGGACCGTGGAGGAACCACTCTCCTCACTGTTTACTTTAGTTGAGTAGCGTCTCCTGCCTTAACAGTCTGGTTACTCCCCTGCCCTACTTAACAGTCTGGTTACTCCACTGTAAATGGTGTTCAACAAAATACTTATAATAATAAAACATACCTGAAACTAAGTTCTTTTTGCACCTAGGCATATTTTCGTCTTCCACCCGCCGTTTTGCCCTTTCTCCTTCCAATGAAAGAATCAGATGTTTAGTTTTCAAATGCTTCCTTAAATTGCTAATGTTTCCATTTTTATGCGAATAAATATTTTTACAAAGATTAGACTTTGCATTAGCTTCCCATATATTGGTGAAATGCATCCAAATAACACTTCTTTTTTGATTTTGCGATTCTCCTGAACCGGACGCGGATGATTCCATATTTTTGTAGAAATAATAATTATATTATTGCTCGAGCTTGTACGGCAACGTCCAAACCAGTAACAACCCGCCAACCGCTAGCTCTCACAGTCAAATGAAAAGTATACAGGTGTACACAAACATTGCCAACCTAAAGCTCCGCAGTCCGACACTCGTTTGATAGAAGAGTATCTAAAGTTGCCTAAGCCTAACGATATTCGCATCATTTCATTTCCACCCAGTTTACATCCAAGACCTAAGTCACTTGCTGCTGGCGCTGGCAGTACTGGCTACATTAGATCCCAGTAACGTTTGTATCTAAAGTAATGTATAGTGTAGTAACTAACAGTAATTAAAAAGTATACATAGAAAAAGACCGTATCGCATTCAAAGTAACGAATTCAAATAAAAAGTAACGAGTCTTTTCAAAAAGTAGGACTCGTTACATTTAGTTACTCATTTGTAACGATTATTTTGTAAGCGTTACTTAATTATTTTACATCACTAGTAGGAGAGTCTGGCGTGGTCTCCAACGGATGGCGCCAACAGCAGTATTCATTCTTGTTACTATTATTTTTTGGGTTTTTATGATAATTTCTCTGAAATGAGTAAATATAACTACAATATTATTGTTTGTAAAAATAATATAAGGTAAACGTATTACTTGGCTTCTATAATATATGGTACATTGGTGTATTGTATAAACAGAAAAACGATTCATGACCTTCCAAAGCTGTAAAATTGGGCGCAGTGAATAACAAGTTTGAAATTCGATTACAAAAAACTTTAAATAGCTTCCCTACTTACCTAAAAATGTTCTCAATTTATGTACCCAAGCATGCTGTAAAGCAAAATTCAGAGGTGGGCAGACCATAGGCCAGTGAACCTGTTTGAAACAGAGCTATTATACAGACATGTTTAAATAGAGAGGAGAAAAGATAACTTCTATGTAGGGATATTTCTAGGAGTAGAAAACACGCCACTCGTCCACGAAACCGGTACTCTGTCAAGAATACTGTACTCTTTAAGCGGAAACTGGCATTTGTTTAAGCAATTCCTACAAATTTTAGTTGAATAAGGATCATGAAAAGTTATCGAATTCAGACCATTAAAGAACGGCGTCGAGTAGACTGAACTATTTGTTGAGAATTGCAATCGAATGTTTTACCTATAACTGTTAATATTGGAATTTCTGAAAATTCACCTATAACTGTTATTATTGTAATTTGTGAAAATGGGAACCCAAAGATTTTGACAATTTTATTTGCACCAGTAAGTAAGTGGCATATGATTTTTATGAACTGGTGCAAATCTTCATAAGTTGGAAGCGTGGAAAGTACAGAGTACAGAGTCAAAACCTATCCCAGTAAGCATATGCTTCAGCTAACAAATCGAAAAGTGGTCCTAAATCGATACTTGTTGAGGTTTAATTTAATTAAACGTTTTGAGGGGAGGGCTCCCGTTTCTGGTTCTCCGTCCTGGTGTCCCCGACAAAAACCTGAGGACGCAAAATCGATCCATTCTCTGAAACCGCGCGAAAATCGGCACTTCAAGCCTGCACAATCGCTGACACCCACCGCTCTTCAATTTATTCACGGCAGAAATCTTTCCAAGCATCTACTGATTAACATAAATAAAGCGAAGCTCCGTCTTGAATCAGAAAATAGATGGTCACGTTGAGTTGTAAGGTGCAACACCTGAAACTTATTCTGTATATGATTGCCTCGCTAGAAAGTCACCATATTTCATAGGCCGCCACGCAAAATTGAAGAATTGAATATTTACCAATGATTCGGCCACCTAGGTGATCTTTAATACAAATAAAAATTGACAATGACAATATATTTAAAATTTATCTGTCCTCCAGGAAACAGTTCATTTGTTTTTCCTGTTGTTATACAGTACGTTCCAATAACAGCCCGATAGGCCGTGTACTAAGCCGAAATCGCTTGTATTGATGGATGGATGGGACACGCTGTATTGAAGCGGCAAAAACAAATGAACTATCACCTAGAAGACAATTAAACATAATAAAGATTAACATTGTGATTTTTACAAAAGAAATAAATGTAGTTTTCGTCAATCTTTTACACACTCAGGTTCGTCAGGGTTATGTGTCGACTGGACTATAACACCGCACAGCCAGTTCCGGAACGAGAGTGCAGCAATCCGAGAGAGGCTGTTTGACATCTATGTCAAATCTCCAATCTGTCAAATGGTGTCAATACATTTTTCTCACAAGGAGGGGTGTATAATACGAAAAGAATGGTGGTTTATTGAAAATTACCCTTTTGTTTGTGTTTTTCCGATAGCTGAATCATACCACATAAAAGAAAGATGTGAATTGCAGTCTGCTGAGCTGGATAAAAGTTCTCTAAACTCCAGTATGATTTTGGATTGCATGTGGTATAGATTTCCACTTAGGAATTTATTGTTTACAGTACGTAAGTTTATTATTTTCAACTGTTGTAAACTAGATATCTTGCAAGAAATAATCTAAAATGAGACGATAACACTGCTTTAAGCATAGATTATTAAAGCATGTTATTACATTGTGGTATTTAATGAAGTTACCCTCATAAAAACGTTTTTAGGTCATAGAAAATTGGACACAAGCAAATCAAGCTTAAAATATTGCTCAAATGCATCAGCTATAGGTTTGAAAGAATCAAATAATCGCTCAGATTAGAACATTGGATCAACCATCATTATTGATGTTTTTCCTTGGGGCAACCTATTTTGCCATCAAGTTATTTTTGAATTTGATAGAGAAATAGTATTACCCATTTTAGAAGTTATTGTTGATTTCAATAAATAATAAGTTACTTAGAGCTTCATATATTCAGCTTTCCACCATTATCATGAAATAATTAATGTGGGTACATTTTATGTTCTTTGGAAGCTGATTTGCTTATGATTGTTGATGAGATTTTGTGATGGTATCTATGTCAGGATAATGCAATTACCTGTTTTTGAGTTTTTGACTTCATTATCAAACTAAATACAGTGAAAACTGGTTAAAACATCCTTCAAGGAACCTAGCAAAGGAAGTCATATCCAATTTTTGTTGTAAGAGATAGTATCTTAGTTTTTAGTTATTTAGGTATATCAAGGTCACTTCTATGAATTTAATAGAAAAGAAAACACGTAAATTTAATAAAATGATTTATTTTAAAACATCTCAAGGCTTTAACACCAAAATAAGTAGGGGCCGTTCAAGTATTACCTGAGCACTATGGGGGGGGGGGTAGTTATTTACTGTTTTACACGAATGGCAACCCTGACATTGTCGTTGCTTGAAAACGAAACGCATTTTCGGGGATTCCCGCAAATAATGCATACGTTTAGTGAACAGCACACGGTAATTCTTCTACTCGCTTAAGAACCGAGTAGGGAAATTACCGCGCGGTGTTCACTTGTCTAAATTTCCCCTATCAGTGTATTGTTTTGTTTGGATACTATAGCGAGTAGACGTATTGTAAGCAGAGTAAAGCAAGTTAACATTTGTGTTACCATTGATTCCATTAGCCAAAGTTTAATGTTTAAATAAAATGTCGTTTCACATAGAAAAATCCAAGTTATACCAAAAGATTTTTGAAAGTTTTAAAAAATCTCATACAAGTACAAAATGTACAAAAGTTAGTTAATGAAGTGTGGCGAAATGACAAATTACAAGCAAAATCTGACAAGGAACTAGATGTTATTGTATCTAAGAGAATCGAAGAAGAATTGCAAGCGGCGACTAAGAATAAATCCAATCTACTAAATTTTTTTTCTAAGGTGAGTGACAAAATCATTTTAGGTACCTATGACTACTAGAAATATTAGAAATCACCAAAAAGTTTCTCTTTACTGATTAGAAAATATTATGGCCTATCTCATAGGGTTTTGTATTTACCATATATATTGCCATACTTTGTATTTATGTAGCTTAATAAGAGAATCTTTAGCAGAAGCCATAGAAAGTTTTTATTTTTAGGCAACCTGTATACCTGCAGAAAAAACACAAATTATACAGTCAGCTTCAAATATTAAAAAAGAGGAAGGAGATAAAATAAAACCCAGTAATGAATCACAACAGCAATGCGAAATTAATGAAAATACAGATAAACAGAGAGCAAAACCTGGTCAGGAAGCTATGAAAAATAAGATTGCTCTACTCGAAAAAAATCTGAATGCTTTGTATTCTGCCAGAGATACTATGCCAAGATGTGCTGAAGTTGATAAACAGATCATTAAGTTGCGCGAGGAAATAAAAACAGCAAAACAGTCTTTAAACAGGAAGGTTGAAAACACAGTTGCCCAGAAGAAACACAGGGATGGTATGAAAAGAAAGCTAGAAGATATGAAAATCCAGAAATAAAAAAAAGACTATCCCTGAGAGATTCAGTGGGACGACCTAATCTTGAAAGCAATCAACATTCACTATTGAAAACAGTCGAGGACATAGCTTTATTTGGGAGTGCAGCAGATGATAGAAGACGAACGGAATCAATTCGCAGCGTAATAACTTTTGATGAAGTCACACAAGAATTATGTAAAATAGGATTTGACATTAGTCGCAATGGGACATATCTTCGTTTGATGCCAATAAAATCTAATTCTACAGAGGGACGAAGACATGTATCGACAGTCCCTGTTAAGCTCATTCGGGCTCAGACTGATCACCACAAGAGCCACTTAGATAGCAAGTTCGCTGAAACATCAATCCATTATTTAGAGAACATAGCATCCATACTTGGACCAGATCAAGTATTTTTCATATCTCAAGATGATAAAGCTCGAGTCCCTGTTGGCGTAACTGCGGCAAATAAGCAAGCACCTCTTCTAATGCACATGGAATATAGAATCAAATTGCCTGATCACGATGGGGTAATCGCTGAGCGTCATAAATTAATACCATCTGTTTATGCTGGTATCAAAATCACTTCCAATATGCTAGGAGAACCGCAAGCCGTTGGATATTCTGGACCAACATACATCGCTATTCGAAGTGGAAAGCATAGTTCATCTACTGCTAATACTCATGCTCAGGATTTCGAGACGCTTCTCGAACTTGAAGTGTTTTGACCATTAGCTAAAACTGACCATGGACTAGTAAAACCAGATGGTTGATGGAGGGCCAGATGAAAATCCTCGTTATCAATAAGTCATAGGGTTTGCTATACAACACTTTAAGCGACATGATCTTGATGCATTGTTTTTAGCTACCAATGCTCCTGGAAGAAGTGTGTATTACAGAGTAGAGCGCAGAATGGCTCCTCTTAGTCGGGAACTGGCTGGTTTAATATTGCCTCATGACCATTTTGGGTCTCATTTGGATGAACGCGGTGTTACAATTGATGAACATTTAGAAAGATCTAATTTCGAATTTGCAGGAAATGTATTAGCTGAAGTATGGAGTTCAATGGAAATTGATGGCTATAATGTTAATGCAAAATATGTTGGGGCAGGTGAACAAGATCTTCCTGATTTTCCAGACATTAAATGGTATTCAGAACATGTGCGTGAGAGCCAATACTTGTTTCAAATTGTAAAATGTAGAAATACAGAATGCTGTCGTCCAAGAAGTGGCCTATTTAAATTACTAGACAATAGGTTTCTTCCACCACCTGTAAAAGTAAAACAAACAGTTGATGACTTGGTTTTGGATGAAGGAGGACAATTTCTTAATCTTCCAATCAATTTAGCTCTTTTCTTAAGTGCTTCTCTCAAAGATTTCCTGCAAATGCCCTACGATTATTTTTGTCCAACGGTAAAATTGAGGCTATCAAGTCGAACATGCAAAACGTGTGGTCTTTATCATGCTTCCGTCAAGTCACTAAATCGTCACATCGAAAATATCCACAAAAACGTAAACACGCACACTGATAGGAAAGTTAGACCTGTAAGAGTCGCTGCTCGTCGTACTAATGAACTGATGTGCATTATCCAAAATTTAGAGCACCATGATGTTGAATGGCTCGATGAGAACGACGTAGACATTCCAAAATCCGATGAAAGCGAGCAAACTCACAACACTGAGCAGCAATCGAAGCAATCCAATGTCATCGAAAACTCCGAATCATGGATTCGGGTTTCATGGACTGAAGTCTGTTAATTTGAATTTAATATATGTAACAAAAATTTAAAATAAGTTTGTTATGTTAGTAAGATATAATATTTTTGTCCTTTAGTCTATGTTGAATACTGTATCAGTAAAATATAATCTCTATCCTAAATCTATTCTCTTATTTTTCAAATTATAATTGTAACGTTATAATTATAATATTAAAAAAAAACATTAATTGACAAATGTTTAAGTAAGCCTGGGGGGAGGGGTAAGAGCTTTGCTTACTTTTACTGAGACGAGGGGGATGGGGATGGGGGTAAATAATTGTAATAAATCTGTTTACGTAATACTTGAACGGCCCCGTAGGTATGTATGTGAGTACCTATAAACAACAGTAACTAAATTAAAAAACTTTATGTAAATACATATTATGGATTATCATACATATGTAAGAAACATAAAAACATAGATAATATTGACTTACTCACAAAGAACATGGCTTATTTTTTGAAAAAGTCAGTAATTTACGATTGTTTTTTACATTTATCAGTTTGTTATTCACATTGAAATTCCTTATCCATAGATTTCAAACATCCCTGCTTTGAAGGGCTGCTAAATTTCTCATTAAAAATTAGAAATTTTTGTTGAGTACCGTTAGACGAATATTTGATTCTCGAACGAAGACAAACAAAAATATTGTGTAATAGTAACGAGTTTTAACCGGCAAAAGTGACGGTTTGTCGCTGTAGCCGATATTTTCGTTAAGTGAATCATGATAAAAACGCTGCTTTAAGTGATAGGTCGTTATAAGCGATGTTGTACTAAACGATTTCTACTGTAGTTAGTTAATATGAAAAACATGTCAACTCCAATTTCCTGAATTATATTTCTACACTTATCCAAACCATATCAACAACACAAGAGTGTTTGTATCCACGTTATGTTGAAATTTGTCTATGACTTCAAGCTATCATTGGTTGCCCTTAGCACCTTAGCTGTTGTGCCAAAGTATCTGTTCATAAGTCTTTCTATCGCTACACCAACGGGCTTTGCTCCTTCCATGATGCCGCCGCGCGATGTGCCTGCCAGACAGACCCGCCTGACTTCGGCGTCCCATCCTAACCGTGTCAAGCTTCGTACATCCAGAACTGGCCGATACGACCGCTCCTTTGTCCCGAGGGTGTCTAGATTGTGGAACAATCTACGGGAGGAAGCTTTTTCCAGTTCTACTAACCTTAGGCAGTTCAAAAATCGTATTAACAAAATTTCTTTGGGATCATCATAGCAGCCGCGGTGTTCCGGCATTTAGGCTTCTGCCTGCGCGGCTGTTTCGATATAAAAAAAAAAGTCTGTCAGACCTGGTTACCCAGAAACCAGACAAGGTTAAGGGAAAAGGGAAAAAGAAAAGAAATAAGGAAGGGGGAGTGTAAAGAAGCAGAAAAGAATCTTTTAGGATAGGAAGTGATTAAGCATTGTTAAAATCACTTGATGAATGTTGATGATATCCAAAAACATTTGACTGTTGTAGAGAGTTTGTTAAAATGCTCTAAGTTTGATTGGTCTAAATGCTTGTGACTTGCTAGTCTGTATAGTCCACTGATTCAAGCAATAGAAGGTTACTATGAGATTCAACCATGACTATAGCATTGCTGCACCTGTTGTTTAATGTACTCCCTTGGGCAAGAGATATTGAGGTCTTTGTGAAGGATTCCATTAGAGATGTTGCAGATTTTGCTTGTGCATTTTGGCAACCAAGCTTGAGTCATTGCAGGACTTTGACTAGCCTATTGCACCGAATTTTGTTAATCAAACTTAGTTTTGAATGTATTTTGGAGTTTAGCTTTTAATGCTCCAATATGATCCTCTCAAGTCTTTTCTTTGTCCACAATGACAACAAGATACATAGTGGCACCTTCCTATGATTGTCTATGACATTTTCTATTTTGATTTTTTTGTCAAATGTTTACTTTTCGTATTTGCTTTGTGATTAAAAGAAAAGCTCTCTTTGCATTATTCATCAACTACCCAATTTTGAAAATACCCCACCTATAAAACTAAATAATCCATCAATATTGGCGTGTATTCTCCATAACAAAATGTTTTCAGAAGATGGATAAAGCACCTATTATCCAAGGAAGTGCCTGCTAAAACCCACAATGAGCTCCAGACCAAGTTCTGGTTCCAGAGTTTCAACAGTGCATAGGCGATCAGAGTCTAGCACTCATCACAGACATAGCTCTGGCAGTTCATATCACAACAAGTCAGACTCTGCTCAGAGTCTGAGCTCTGATCACCATGCTCCCCTTAGACATGGGCACTACAGGTCTAAATCTGGGGTACTTGAAAAGGATGTTGACAGAGACTCAAATGCCTCTGGAGGTAAGACAATGAAACCTTTGTATTTAATATTTTTTGATTATCCATAAAAATGATGCTGTTGTCAGAGAGCATGGCAAAAAAATGATCTAGCAAATTAAAAATTGCTTTCTTTAGAGAGTCCATTATCACCTTTCCAAATGAAACCAAAACCATGAAAATCAATACATCCAATCAGAATATGACTTATGTAGACTTGTTTACATCTGATCATTTACAGAAAAAATTCTAATGGTTCATAGGCCGAATACACTGATATATCGGTATTGACCGATTATTATTATAAACTTGTCTATTGGCTGACGCAGATGTAGCTATTATTGTTAAATATGTTTTCAGTATCACAAAGACTCGAATTCCGTTCATCGCACGTCATTCAAGGTGACGGAAACCGTACAAACAGACCGACCTCATTGTACCCTCTCAGGCTAAGCGACAATGGGATAGGTGGTCACGATCCGCTGCAGCCTGAGAGGGAGCCAATCGTCTTTGAGATCAACCTGGTGGGGGCGCCACCGGAAGTGGAGCAGCTTGTCAACAATATTAAACAGGTCGCCGAGCAGTTTCTCTACCATTGGAAAACTTTTCCTATAAGTAAGTTATAATGAAAACTCTGTAGACATAGAAGAATACATCAATCGATCAACACCGCGTTGCAAGTCTTTATTGCGGACCACAGGTTATCAAGACGTATTAGGTTCAGAAATTTGAATTGGCAGATCTGAATCTGACAGATAGTCACTAACCATATTATTCAGATGCATTCGCCAAAAACTATATTTTGCTAATGACTGTGGTGATGGCGATAGATCTCGCGACAGGAAAGTCCTGTGTGCACGTCATAACCCAGCCAAAATCGTAAAAAGACTGGGAAATTAAACAATCCATCGTCTATCATTTCAAGTTTTGGAGCAAATTGTAAATAGCAACTACAAACACTGTCCAGAGTGTTCCACGAGAAACTGCAGCGATCGTTTACTCAAAAAGTTGACGTAAGGCAGTTCGTAAAATTTGGGATAGTGGTATAACTGATGGCAGCAATTTGGCTAAAATATATTCAAAATGTATATTATTATGCCTTTACCATACGATTTCTAATCATTTTCTTATAGTAGGGAACCTACTTGGTAGTAGATTTCATTTCAGATTTAGATAAAACATAATACAAGGTGGTTAAGAAAGGGAAATTGAATCTACTACCGGTACAACATGAACTGCAACCATTTTAAAAATATTTTAGCTGAATTGCTCTCATCAGTGATACTATAACCCAAAATTTTCATAATTGTCGAATGTCAACTCACACAACAACTGTCCCTAAAAAACAAGTCGGAGTCAGGCATTGAAAATCCGGTTGACAGGTGGTAAAAACTGTGTAATATTAATATTTTTCAAATAGCAATCGATCCAAAATCACACATACGTGTATTATGAATTTGTCAGTTGTGAATATATGTTCATATTCCTCACGGCTTTCGTAATGGTACATATGGAAATGTCTTCCTATTTTCCTTACAAAGTTCATATATAAATGGAATATTTATACTAATATCTGCTGGTTGCAGCGGTTTTCATGCAGCAAGTACATTTAATTTCTAGTTCTTCCAAGTCCCGTATCACAATGCGATTCCTTCAACACATCACAAATATCTTCGGATGGTTCCCTAGGCAGAATGAAGACCAAGTACCACCTTCGCGACCTCTTCATCGCTACTTCTTTCGATGAATTGGACGCTGTAGCTGTTGACGGGAAAGGGGAACCACGGAAACTGACCAATAAACAATTGGAATACATCAGAGAAAGAGGGTATGGTTCCTCCATCCTTTTGTTTTTTCAAAAAGATATATGGCAATACCAATGCTTCTTTCTTGATTGTTTTAATGAACTTTTTTCGAATCTACGAAAGTCCGGTATATTTTTTTTTGAAAGAATTTTATATAAAAACTGCTTTAAAATGAAATAAATATATGAAGAAAATGAAAATGAACATTTGTCCACAATTGCTTCAATTCTTGGCTGTAAGGTGTTGATTTTTCAAAAATAATAAAATTATTTTAAAAAGTAAGTTTTAGATATTATTTTTATTTTTGGCTTGCTGAAGGATGTAAAATAACATATATTAGTGCAAAAAGTTAATGATTGTGCTACCAGTGGCTTTGCTAAAAAAGTGTCTTATATTTTACAAAAAAACAGGTACCCCACTGATATTTTTATAAGTTAATATCGTCTCTTCTCACTCGGTTTTACACACTTTATTAAAAGGCGAAAAGCACAAGCAGATTTTTTCTTATTTGATGACTAATATTCTTTGAAAATCTATAACTTCATTGTCTCATATGAGCGACATGTTAGTTTTTCTTTTTGATTTATCTGGTTTTTAAATTTGGTGGAGCTGTAAACGTCAAAAATTTCCTAGTTCCTGTTATTCGGAATTGGCCTTAATAAGCTGTTACACTCGTGATTTTTCCAAGTCTTCTTTATTTGTCCATGCTGATTCACGATATATTGATTTTTAACCTTGAAATAATCACGAATGAACTAAAACAATAATATTACGTTACATGAAAACTTACATCATACTGTAATGAAAAAATACATCAACTATTGACAATTTATTGCTATGCAAAGTATTTATTTTAGTATTTATAATCATATTTACTATTTTTATGAATACAACATATTTTTTGTAAAGCTTGCACAAGGATAAATTTGGAAAACGAAAAAGATTGAACCAGCAACAGCTAGAAAGTATTAGATTACATGGGTATGTTCGACTGTCTTGTGTCTGATCTCAATCTATTTTATGCAGTTGATTGATTGGATTTTTTATTTTCTTTGCTGTGCGTGTGTGTTTTATAACGTTTCAATATCACTGTTTAAACATAGCCATAGTCATACCAGTAGACATCTACACCATTGAGATTCGTTTTTATTATTCATTATTAAATAGCATGGTTGTTCTTTTTTCTGTCATACCACTCACTCAATTCGCATCGCGAAGTATAAATGATAAGTGTACCGTGGATACAATAACTATTAAAAGATAATCACGCGTCAAAAGACATTCATTTCCTGGAGTTTTTTTTTTCTGGAGAAGTAAAGCCAAAGCGTTTATCGGACATCCAGAAGTGCCTTTAGAACCAATTGTGTAATGAATAGTTTAGATCAGTCTTTCTCCCAGAGGGCGATAACTCCCCTTGTGGGCGTCGAGACCTGCGGATAAATTGATTTGGAGGGCAATGTAATGACTGATTAGAGTATCTGTAAATAACTGAAACTTACATTGAAACTTACGTACCAACACTAATAGACGTGCTTCTGGTACAGATACGTCATTTATACTTCTACCGAATAATCAGCAAATACTTATTCATACATCACCATGACCTATTTTTGTGCACCTCACACTGGTTCTTCTTAGTTACATTGCAGTTTTCTTCCACTGTGAAAAGAAGTATATTATGAGTAACAATTATATACCTGGAATCATTTATTAGTATCTAACGCTGAGATCATCTGGACCGTTCCACTACTTTTTAAGAGTCGTTTACACTGAAAAAGATTAACCGCCAATATAGGATGTTTTGTAAACTACTGACGCGCGTTTGTAAACTCATTTGCTCATAATATATCTTCTACTTCCGAGAAGGCGCATACCATTTAAGGTACTTTTCCGAAGGCAAAATAAACCCAAACATAATTGCATATGAAATTTTAAGTTGCTGTTTTAAATAAAGTGTTATGTTACTACTTTAACATAAACAGAATAACAATTTTATTTGTAAGTGAACAAAACAAAGGAACCTGCCTATATGAGGTTGACTCACAATTCGCTTCCCATTACTCCAAAAAATTGTAACCATATCACACGGTCTGCTTTACTCCTCTTTTTGGCAACAGGCAAGTGCAAAAAATGACTGACAGCTTTACAGTGAACTTGCTATATTCTTAATTACATCAGATATCACTCACATATGTATGTATTAGCATGCTCATATCGTTTTCGCCTTGCCTATAAAGACAAACATGTCTAGTCAAACTCACAGAAGGAATATAGTGTTTTTGTTAGATCCTATAACATAAAAAATGTCACGACTCTACGGTGTCTCCACATTATTTATCGTACCTAGAATCAATAATGCAGATGCAGTATGAGCAGTCAAAGATTGCGTATCAGACTGTATACTATCTTTTTCACGAGTATCCATTATGGTAGAATTACAGCTGGCTTTATAGTAATAGTATTTTGTTGTTTTTTGTACGCTACGGATTCATTTTGTACTTTCTAACAACTCTTTATTTAGAAAAGCTCATTCACCTACAAAAAAAAAACGTTACAAGCAAAATGGCTTGTAATGATCATGACCACATTCCAAGTCAGGTAGGAATAAAATAAGATAAACAGTTTTTGACTATGTTAATCATGTCGACTTTTCAGACATAGAAACATCACATGCTTTTAAAGGGCAATGAAATAGCCATACAATTAATTAAAAATTGATTTCAGTATATAATCGAATTGATAGAGGTTCGATTTCCTGAATTGGGTCTGAACATTACGCAGGTATTTCCAACAAGTTACAAAAATGTACCCAACTGGGACTGTGCAAAAATCCAGAGAGGAAAGATTATGTTTAAGATATTGAAAAATATCAAATTCAATTGTCTATCAAAATATTTCAGAGGCAGGTTCATACGTAACGTGCAAAACCATTTTTTTCGCCAGTAGTGTTCTAAACAAGCTGCATTCATTATTAATTTTTATGAGAGGTTACTTAACCTGTATTTGAATTACGTTACACTGGTGACGGACAATCAACCAGAAACACGTGTTTATATTATTTTTACGGGTAAAATCACAGCTACTGGAAAGGAAATGCAGTATGTTCTATTAGCTTACCTCGTAGTCAATAAATCACAGATGTACTATAATAATTTGTGAAAACCTTTTTTCTATGTGTACTTGTATTTTACAGTTAAAATTCCCAGTTCAGTAAAAGTATCTAGTTATGTGAACAACACCTCTGAATACGCTCCTGAGTTTTGCCAGATTTAAACCCGATTATTATTAACAATGTTACAAACTATATAATACAAATATAGCACTTGCTGACCAACTCAGTAGATGTCAAAACGTAATGGATACGCGTGAAATACGCTTCATCTATGTGATAAATTAATTTATATTTCTGTGCATTGAAAAATACCATGTTAGCCAAAACGGTCCTCTAATAAAATTGTATTTTCCATTAAGTCTGGTTTTTATTACTGCCAGTCAACACGCGGCAGGTTAAATTTGTTTTTGGGAAAACTACTTCTACAAATGGTATACCGGCGCCTTCCGGAGCATAGTCAGACCGACATCTATACATTAGCTTTATGTATGCGATCTGTCAAAACCGTCTTCTGTAGCCGTGCGTGTGTACGAAATCTGTGCAAGTTTTACCTTCTGTGACCATGTTCGCCAATATACGTTCACGCTAACTTGCAGATACTTCGAAGTAGAGTCGCTGAATTTTCCCGGACAGCAACACCGCTGGCGCTTGTCCCAGTTGCTCCAAAAGGGCATTGTGAACACGCACAATTCGTTACTGAACGATCTCGCATTGGCGGTGCATTTCATCGTGGTCACTGCCAAGAGCAGGATCGTATCGCATTTTTTTAGCGTCTCACAAGCGGTGAAGAGCCTTGTCGCCGGATTGTTGAGAATTGTCGATATACTCATCGGACTGCCTAGTCTGCAGGCGCACAATTTGGACGCGAAGATTCGCGAAGAGAGGAATAAGTATCTAGTGGCCGAACTGGTTTGTAGGGTGAGTGGTGAGAATTGTATAAAAAAAAATACATTTTTAAAAACAAGCTTTTATTTAGTTACTAATAAAATAAAAATATAAAAATAATGTTTTCCATATTTCATCTCAAATTTTCAAATAAAGTCGTGTTACACCCTACTGACAAGACTTAAGACGCTTTTATTTGAAAACTGGAGATGAAAGATCATCATAGTTTAAATTTTGATTCCATTTTATTACTAGCTAAATAAAAAATTGTTTTTAAAAATGTATTTTTCTATTTTATTTATTTTTACTTTTTAGAATGTATGATGTAACAATTAACTCGTTTGGTAATTTCTGTTTATTTTTCATATATTTTATCAATAGGACATAAAACTTCTTACTTTATTTGTATTATAAAACGTCGATTTATATAAATCATATATAACGATAAAGCGATATTTTTCGACGATCCCCATATGGAATTTGGAATGACGGCACTTTGCTTATTATGTTTCCCCTTATCAAGCCTTTTCATTTCATATACGTATCGTAGGGGTGACTATTCGCGCCATTTTGCGGCGGCCGCCATATTTGATTTAGAATGACGTCACATTGCTTGTTATGTTTCTCTCTGAAAGCCCTTGATTTTGATACCTATATCATATGGGTGACTACGAAAATGATGAATCGCATTTTGTAGCATCCGCCATATATTGTATTCATTAATTCTGAATGTCATAACCATTGTCCTAATATTTGAACCTTTTTCGAGACTCGTAACATATGCAACTGTGGCACCTGTTTGGCAAAATACCTAGTTTAGCTTATTTTTTATTTGTTAGAATGTTCTTTAAACTGAAATTCTAATTTGAGTAGACTATTGAGATAAGCTGAACTCGCCAATTCAACTCGCATAATAATTGTTTTGCAGCCTGAAAATGAGGACTCGGTAGAATTGTTGTGTTCGTTTATCAAAAAGCAGCTGAGGAGAGCAGCGACCGAGAAATTTGAAGTGACTAGGGAATGTTCGCAACCTCCTGTAGCGCTTCCTTACAGATTCCTCACACCCTCAGGTAGGTATTAGGCACATTTTACTAATTTTTACTTGTATAGTGGCACATGTTCAATCTTAATGAAAACTAAGGTCATTGTTAGAAAATGTACTCGTATGTTGTTTCAGGTACTGAATTAGACCTGCGTTTATGGGATAGGTCGTTGATGCGAAAAGCACTGCCCATATTAGTTACAATATTAGAAAGAGAGACAAGGGGATGGTTCTTGCATTTCCGTGAAAGACTGATTGCTGAAATGAGAGCTCAGAAGATGCCAGATGAAGATATCGAAAGGGTATGGAAACTATTGACTGGGGAAATCAAACGTTAATTATAAAATACTTTTAGGAGGTAAATGAAGCCGTCATGAAGGAGTATCTTCAAAGAGTGTATAACAGCATTTTGTCACATCCAGATATTATCAATTTAGGTGAAGGCATTGCTCAATTATTAGTACAACAAGCCCAAACTGTAGTTTTAATGCATAGGTGAGTAAGATATTGAAATGTCGCCTGAAAATAGTTATGAAAGCTTTCGTAACGTAACAATAATATATTGCAGAGCTATTGAAAACGTTCAACATCGCCTCCAAAAATCTCAGGAAGAAGTCAGAACGCGACTTTGCAATTTCCATCCAGTTTTATCTAGAGTAGGACCATGGTTAAGATCTAGACTGAGAAAAGCTGAACAGAAGTTCAGCCAGGAGAACCAGTGGAGCGCACACGAGGAAGCACTATCTTTGTGCGTCGCTCAGCGATTACTTCAGACTGTATACTTCCTCAACAGGTAAGTACGATACTTTGATTCCCTTCCATTCTTTTACCTTCTTTCTTTCTGAGCGGTATGGTGACAAGACAAGCCGGACTCAGTAGACTAACTGAAAAAAATATTAAACAATAACAAATATCTACAATGACGTACTATTATCATTTCTAATGCTTTGTTATACCGCGAAATGGGACCTCAAAAAACATTGTGAGTGCTACACCTGGATTGTCCATGTGTTCTTGAGGGGGTGAGGGTAATTCATAATACTTTCGTTGATATCTCCAATTTGACGCCATATTTTATTCGTTGAATATACAGGGACCTGAGTTTCATGAAGGAGAGAGAGCCCGCATTATTGAGGGAACTGAGGAAAGACAAAATACCTACTCGCACGTTCTTCTGGCCGACGCAGGTATGGCTACCTACGAATTGGGTAGTTAGAAGAAGCTTCCAAGGGCAGTCTGAAATAGTGCCCACCGTTTTAAGCAAACAGGCAACAAGTATTACCACTCCCAGATCTGATCCTAGTCAACCGGTAAGGAAATGTTAAAGTTATAGATCTTTACTTTCCAGGGATCACTTTTATATACTGATAAACAGTTTGGCCTTCTTTTATTTGTTTTATTCTTATTTCTAAATTTTTTAATATTCTTTTTAAATTTTTTTCATACCACCAATCTCTGAGATGGCTAGTTTTGATTAGAAATAAGCAGGTTAGGCTGGCTAATAACGTACTATTGCCTAGTATGATTTAAAAATTCGAAATCCACGGAATCCCGTGAGTATGTCGAATGTCAAAAAGCTTTACTACATCTAGAATGGCGTTTTCCGGTGTAGTCGCTAGGATTTCCGCGTCACAAAAGTTACCACTTGACTGTCGCTAGTTAGGAATTAGGAATTTCTTATTATAAATATAAACTTTTGAGTCATATGCATAAATATTTTGCAGCGTGCAATATCCCCACTATGAATAAATGTAAGTCTAAATAAAAGTAAATTTGAACAAAAATGCGTAATCTTCCGCTACAAGTGATGGGCAGTGAATTCATCCAAAAAGAATTATCTATCTGACAACACCGCATGCATCTCTTGCCAAATAAGAACGACACAGGGTTATAGGCCATGTTTTTTTTGTTTAGTCAGTTTTACATATAGTTTTGGCAATCAAAAATACCGTAAACGTTATCGATAACCTATAACTCTATGGCTTTAACCCGGGAACGCTAAATTTGTAACGTAATAGGCGACGTGTTAGGTTTAATCTAACACTGGCTGATATAGGTAAAAATATTATTTTGCTGTTTTTAAATTATTTTTTATTCAAATAAAACGTTATAAAATGGATATACACATTAAAGAGTACATAATGCAAATATATTTAGCCATCAGAATTCTCTTTGTCAGTTCCGCAAGAGATACACGTAGAAACGGTACAGGCAGTATGTTCTTTGCACATGGGCGACGCACAGCTTCCATATCGCTGAAGAGTGAATCAGTTTTTTCTTATTGGACATTACTTACATCGTGCTTTTGATTGCTCCCCTTCCAAGTTCGTTCTGGCAACCGCTCTTATTCCGGTAACGTTGGCTTTGTTTTGACGTAGTGGAACATGTTGGAATATATGCTCTTTTTTCCAATAAGGGCAGGTTAATTTCTTAGATAAATTTGATATGAAACTTCTTCTGTCTATGGTTATGTTAATATTATTGTTGTATATGATCTAAGCATTTATGGTAGCAATGTTTAGGAATGATGAAAATACAGTAAGTGGCCAACGATTACGCTTTCTAGTAGCCGAATATTCGGATTTCAATCGGTCCACAACATCAACCCTTCCTTTTGTTGTATTATAAAGGGTAATAACTTCGGGCTTTTTGGCTTAATTAGTAGAGCAGTCAATTGAATAATCTTCATGAAATGTAGACAATAATAATACATTTTTATTGATTTTTGGAAACTGTCGACATCGGAACAGCAACAAAAGTTTCTCCATCATCGCTATTAGCCGATTGGTCTGTATCAGTGAGATGGATACTGTGTTTAGAGCAAGCATTACTAATATCACCTTCAAAGAACACCTCCGTTTCATCCCCCCAAGAAATTTCATTATACCACTTCATCAGTTTTTCCTCTTCCTTTTTATCCACCCTAAAAACAAGAAAAGAACAGTATAACAAAAATATTAATCTTGCAACTAATATTCACTTACCGGAACAACACAAACGGAAGACATCGACGATCGACGACTTGAAGGCACGGAGAAGATCCATAGACTCAGAAGAAGTTGTCATAGCAGTATTTTTGAATTTGAAACGAACGAGTTCATATAGCAGACAAATTATCTTTAATACTATCATTCTTCCGCATTTCTTGTACTACTACTAGTATACGACTATTGTATACAGGGTCCGGCAGTGGAATGTGACGTTTTTCGGTACACTGTATTTATTAGCAATTTTGTTGTAAAAATAAGTAAAAATTTGAAAAATAATACTCATTGAATGGAGTTTTTAACAGTTTATTATTTTTTAAAAATTACAGATTTTAAATGTCCTCCATTAAACTCTATACATTTTTCAATATTTTCTCGGACCTGGTTCATAACTGCGCCTCGAAGCCTTCCATCAATTCTTCTTATGTCCTCAGTTATGTTGTTCTTTAGCTCATCCAGTGTGCGGGGCTTGTTTACATACACTTTAGACTTTAAGTACGCCCATAAGAAACAATCTGGAGCCGTTAAGTCAGGAGAACGTGCTGGCCAGGCAAGGTCTCCATTTCCGGGAAATTAATTTGCCAGGAAACTTATTCCTTAAAAATTTCATAACTATTCTAGCGGTATGACTAGTTGCCCCATCCTGTTGAAACCATATTTCGTGATCTTAAACTCTCAATCTACGTAATTCGGCAGTAAGAAATGTTTGTAGCATTTGCAAATATCGCTCCGAGGTAACGGTTACAGTTCGATTATTCTCTTCAAAAAAAATACGGTCCAATAATCCCGAAGGTTGCAATTCCGCACCAAACCGTAATTTTTTCAGCATGTAAAGGTTTTTCATGCAACTGCATTGGTTGTTCTGCACACCAATATCGAAAGTTTTGTTTATTAACAAAACCCGATAAATGAAAATGAGCTTCATCAGACATAATTAAATTATCCATCAGATATGGTCTTTCGCGCAACAATTTTACAAATTAGGTGGATCTTGTGGGGATAATTGATGCACAATCTGTATTTTATAAGGATGAAACTTAAGATCGTCATGCAAAATACGGCGCACTGTACGATCTGATAGGTTTAGAGCCCTTGGACTGGCTGTTACTGCTTCCTCAACTCTTCGAATATTTTCAGGCGTTCGCACAGTACGGGAAGAACCAGCAAACCTATCACAAACAGTTCCAGGCGCATTCCACTTCTTAAACCATTGCAAAATAATGTTCCGCGATGGAATGCGACCACGTCTTGGGATATTAAACTCAGCCCGAAATCGTCTTTGGACCGTAATAACAGAATTTGTTTCAATGTAAGCCGTCACGGCGACCACGCATTGATTAACCGGCCAATTCTCCATAGCTACTAAACTGCATACAATAACAAACACATCAGTCACAAACAGAACTCCCCCACCCATTCATGTGTCAGGCAGTGGCGCGTTAAAATGTGTCACATTCCAGTGCCGTACCCTGTATTTAGCAAATAATTCCATTTTTGAAACTGTAGATTTTACAATACAAGTGCATGAGAATAACTGAATAAAGACAAGTATACTATAATTAGGCAAATGCTTAGCAAATTAAAATGGCTCAATGTAAAAAAATTATCTAATGTCTTGTAATTATATTCATTTATAAAGTGAAAAATAATATATTTCCACCAACTCTAACTAATTTAACATCATCAAATGCCGACCATCATTCACATAATACTAGAAATAAAGATGCCTTCCACTTAATGACCAACAAGTAAAACATATGCTACAAATATGTATTCCATCAAGGGTTGATTGAATATAATGAATTATATACAGGTATAAAAGACCAGAAAACAAAATTCAAAGTAAAATTCAGGAATCACTTGTTAAATCTACAATTATAGCTTGCCCAGCATTTATATCATGTAGCTTAAATTTACTAGTTCTAAGTTGGTTACAATTATTGTGCTCATGTAGCCAAACGTGCTAAATAAATTTTTCTACTACTACTATTTTTAGGAAGCTCTAGCGGTTCCAGCTTCCTTCAAACGAGAAACGCCCTTAAAACAACAAATTTCCATCCTGAATTAGCTTTTGTATGATTCTTCTTTTCTCCTTCCTTTACAGGTATTTTTAGTGGAGAAAGAAACAGTCCGCACTACAACAACCCGCTGGCCGATGTGGAGAATCTTCAACTATTTCCATCGGACATGGTGTTGGACATGGAATGCCATGTTCTTTTTCGGCATCGTCCTACCATGGTGCAGTCCAGTAGGACTGCGAGCTCTCTTCTGCATGGAGCCGTTCATGCCGGACCTTGAGCTGTCCCAGGTAAACGGAACTCTGTTTCCCAGGAAGAGTAGTTTAACCTCGACGCTTACTTCGAGACTGTTCAGCCTCTGGAGGCACATATCAAAATCCCGGACCAAGTTTGAGACAAAGCCTGATACCGGGTTCATAGGAAAGGATTTCACTAGGCATGTAAATAGGATCTGGAATTATTTCGTCAAAGGGTAAGTCGTATTTGTTGTATTTATCGTAAACATTCTTTTGGAAATTGCATGTATTTTATTATTGCCTGCCATCAATTCTTGATCAAAATGAGATGTCCCAGGCTACATTTTTTCGCTTTTGGTAAATTACCGAGTTTCATACCATGACTGGATTTCTTTAAGTCAATCCCAAAAGTAGCCAACATTGATCATTGCATCAATTAATTAGAAACTGGGAGATAATGGTCATATTTAGCCCGTGGGTATTTACCATAGGACTGTGCTATTCCGTGCGTTAACACCACTCTAAGATAAGAGATAAAGCAATACTACAGTATATTGAAATGCCATTTACGCCACTTGCGCGACACTCACAATTGGAGCCATAAATGCCTGGGTAGGGAAGCAACAGGTGCATAGAAGCGATGATCGAGTGATCATGTTTGCTTTGACGTGGAGTGAATGAGGTTTGAATGGATTATAGTTCATTTACCCATATGCAATACAAGGGGTTAGAACAGCACTAGTTATCACAGTATAAGCATCGTCATTAGTGTTGCGTTAGAAGGTTCAGCTTAGCGCACACTTTAATTGGATTGATGCTCCGCCATCTCTTGGAACGGTGCGGTGTGAACGCACGGAACAGCATGGTCCTGTGGCTCGTTACCCACGGTGGAAACATGGGCCATATTACACCGTAAGTAGCTAAGCGCTTAGTTAGCCAAACAGCACTGTGCATAAATGGTGTTCTGTGTCACCATGGTCATGCGCTATATAAGCGCTTGACTGCCTGTGGTGTATAGATGGCCATGGTTAATGTTCTGTTCGCCAATATCTATCAGAACGATCCTTAGAACAAGGGTTCTTAGTTGATGTTTTGTAAGTCAGTTTGTTTGACAAGATACCGTTATCTGGTATCTTGCGTTTGTTACTCAGGAAACACGAAGGAGAAAGGAGGAGAGCAAAGATGCTAAAGTGCGTCATTTGGCAGTTGGAGGGGTGCCTTGTCCAATTATTTCTTGTAGCATTTTTACTGATAGTGTGATTCTTGATGACTTGTGTTAGTCACTGACAGGATTGATTCAAAGAGACGCAACTGCAGTTCAAAACTAATACTTTGGACAATTACTAAAGCCGTTAGTCTCTGAAAACTTGGTCCCATTCTTGTTTTGTTATGATAGTGTTAGGAAGTAGATCTTCATTAATAATTGTTTTTATGTACAAATATTCTGAAATATAAACATTTCACCATATTACATGCAACTTAGTGTTGTATTTGTTTCAGTTTCTTCGGAACAATCGGTTTGGTTGTGATTTTCCCCATAGTCTGCTTTGCTGTGATCATATCCAGTTTATTCATCGCTTTCACCACCGCAGTTTGGATGCCGCTGTTAACTTTGACCATACAACTGACAAATCTGCTGATCTATGACCTAGACTCTCCAGAACCCAAAAGAAACAGATATTTCGTCCTGTGCGAGGCTCTGATTTGGAACATTGCCATCCAAGGATTTATGCAACCTATAGCTGCGGTTGTCGTCGCCGTCATATTGTGTCCTGTCGTTGCACTGGTCATTTTAGGAGGTAAACGCAACTCATTTATCTCCGAAAGATATCGGTCATTGTTTAAATTCCTCATATTATTCAGCATACAAGCAAAAGGAAATGTTATCTGTTGCAAAAAAATATTTTGAAAATGACAAATACTTGAGATGTAGCGATGATTTCATTATATTCTAACATGCCAAAGAACGATGGGCATTTGGGTACCCCCACCTATTGCAAGGAGTAATTTACACTTGACTTTGAAAAAGATTCATTAATTATATGATTGTGTAAATACTTGATTTTCAGTAGATGCTAGCTAGATAATATTAGAGCAGGTGCTAGTTGCAATATTACCTGAGTATATGTTAAAGATTAACATGTTTGACTGTTGATTTTATTGACTTATTTTTTATCGGGATCAAAAATATCAGAGTTTTTTCAAAAAAAGATAGTATGTCGAATATTTAGCTCTTTGTAATATTTTTTGAATTCCTTCTTGACATAACTTTATTCATCCGGCCCATTTTAACGAAAATTTGTCAGTGATTAAAAAAATCATTTATCAAATTTAGAAAATTTTATTGAATTGAACAATGTGTACTATAGTTGTTCTACTAAAGGAAGTATAGACTTTCATTTAGAAAAATAAAGTAAGCAGTAAAGCTAAGAAATCAGTATTTCAAAACGGATTGTACGAATTTAATAAATTAAGTAATGATACCAAGAAGTGTGCCAGTTTGAGAATGTTGAAAGGGAAATTGAAAAAACATCTCATGGAAAACCATAATTGATAGTAGTGAAATTTTGTATAAAAATATGCAGACTCGAAGACATAAAATATTATGTGACATACTGTGTAACATTAATATTGTAGAACTAATACTAAATAAATATACAACGGATAAAAAAGTCTTTTATGGGCGGTCCAATTGTTCTAATCTTGAGATTTTTCTGATCGTATTAGGAGGGGTGGCGAGGTACTGGCTACGTCTTTTATGGGATACAGCTACTTTTCATTTGATCATCAAAAAACGTGGTCGAATACCAGCTAGCGACAGTTTTGTGGTGAAGAGGATAGCAGGACCTGGATTAGCCAATGACTATTACTTCCAGATCAGTCCTGAACAAGCACTAGCTGCATTTGAGGTAATTTGCATGATGTGAAATGATATCACAACTTGGCCAGGATTATTTCATTATATTATATTGAACTTATCCGTTTTATCTTCTCTTCTCATTTTCTTAACACCTTATCAATCCTACTTGTTTTCTGTATGCGTGGGCTAGCACGAAGGCTATAACGCCTAAATACTCTATTCAGGGTTGCTCAGCTTTTGTTAATTGTCCACCGACCCAACCCTACACCATGCTGAAAAGTTGCCAAATAGGATAGGTCTATTGTCAAACGAACGAAAGCTATATTACTAGTTTGTTCAAAGGCGCGCATCTACGATAGGACCAGAATCGGTGGCATCTAGCGGCCACAGTGGTGATTCGGCTGAGGCATACACAATTCGTACATACAGCTTGCTGTTTTCACTTCCACTTTGGTCGAAAATGATATTTTTGTCAAGTGACAAATCTTGCTGGTATCGGTGTATTTTGCTATTTTGTTTTAATTTTTCATTTATGATAAAGCATAACTAACGTTTGATATATCGAAATAAGACTGCGCAAAGCGCATATGTCTTATTTCTCATACATTGGATAGAGGATAGTTGCTACGCTTTAGTTCATTGTCCCAGAGACCAAGCGTAGACCATGCTGATTATTTGCCATAATGGTTGGATGTCTTTGGGCTAACGGACGCAAGCAGATGTTTAGTCTACTTTTGATATATTCTAGGCCAAAATGGAGTGGGACGAGTTGGGCGCTTATCAATCCGTAATGGAGAACACAATACTCCAACCACAAAGAGATTTCAGTCACTTTGTAGAGGCATGTTTCGGAAGTTTTTCAGTCCAACTGGCGAAAAACGGCCCATATAAGAACCTAGAAAAAGAGGCCCAGGACCTGATGTCTGTTCTACATGAAAAGTTGGAGAGAAGGAGAAGAGATTTACAGACTGGACTCAGTGTATCAATAAAGAGCAAGATCAAATTATGCACTCCAGAGCTGAAGGTAATGAAAACATGTCTGACACTAATTTATACCGGAAGCATGCTAAACGTCGAGACGTAAATAAATAGTATACCTCTATTATTGATCAAATACTCAAAAATCATCAGCACGAACACAGACTGGTTATACCAAGAGACGGCATCCACAAAACAGCTGATGGAATTTAACTAGGCTTAGATGTTATTTGGATAGGGAGAAGCATGCAAAGTTGCCAGGTAGATAATACTTTTTTGATGAATCCATTGTGATCCACTGACAATTGTCAAAGTCATTGTATGGTAGAAGGGTCACTGTTGTGACTGAAATCTTTACAATGAAGATGTTTTTAACACCTGGGATTTCGATTGACCAGAGAAATATGGGGGATTATTCACCGCAGTGTCCTCTCTTGGTGTAATTGCTCTTTGGTATGACACTATTAACAGCTTTCTCCCTACCATTTCCTCAATCATTCGCAGAAGACATCATTTCGCTCACATCAGAGCTTGTCAGTTCGACATAAGCCTAGATTCGCTTCTCTATACAGCGATCTCGACTCCTGTTATACCTACAGCAAAGATTAAATGGGCATAGTTTTAGAGGATACTTATTGCTTTCGATAGCCGGCTTCAGATCTACGACAGGTCAATTTGTTTTGGAAATATTAGCGAAAAACCGAAAATCGCGGAATTTTTTTTTGCCAGTAAATCCAAAACGGTTAATTTTACAGCTGTCAAAATGTGACATTATTCGGACAGTATTTGAGAAAAATAAGATAGCATGTATGTCATGTCTCAATTGTCTTTTGTTTTCAGCATTTTTTGATTTTTGAAAAGAGAGTGAAATTTCCAGTCAAGTGATGACAAGTACATAAAAGAGTGGAGTATCGTCGAAGAAATATCATCATGTATTAGTTCTTTCCTAAGGAGACCATGATTTATTTGTCAGAAAATAATATCAATAAGTAAGGCATAAAAACACATAAACGCCTTGAATTTTCAATAGAATATTAACGTCAATATCGACTTCTCAGCAAGTCAAATGTTTTGTGACAAATCCCAACTATTGAGTGTGTTGAAACAACGATCGTCGTAAATTTATTTTACACTTGAACAAACATTTTACAAAATTGTAACGTAATGTAAAATCTAATTATGTAAGTGAGTATTAATTTACAGATTTGCAAAATAACGTCCATTTGCATCCAGACATTTTCGACAATTGGTGACTCTTTCTAACTGTGCTCAGAATTCTTTGTCTCGGGATTTCTATGGTCGCGGGAGGATCAAATTCGTAGACCTCATTCTTTGTGTGACCCCAGGGGTAGAAATCTAAGGGTGAAAGATCAGGGGATCTAGGAGGCCAAGATATTGAACTATTTAATTAAATTATTTTTTCATCAAACTTCTCTCTTAAGAAGTTCCTGACTTGAATGGTGTGTGCCGGACATCCATCCTGTTGAAACCAGGTTCTTCTAAACTAATCTTCGGTTAGACTAGCTCGTAAAGCCGGCACAACCTGGTTTCGCAAAAGTTCTAGATATCTCAGTCCGTTAAGGTTGTAGTCAAACAAAAATGGTCCTATACGTCGATTTCCTGAAATGATTAATACCTAATTTCAATTCAATTAAATTATCAATGACCCCACGCCAAACGTTAGGTCAAAATCTGGTCGTTAGACGTCTCTCTGCCACTTCGTGAGGGTTTTCCACAGCCCAATGACGAGTGTTGAGCTTATTAAAACCACACTTCATAAACCTACTGTCATCGGGCCACAAGACATGATGTACAAAATCGGGATTTTCATTAGACCTAGTATACCACTCACAGAAGCGCAATCGCATTGGAAAATCAGTTTTCTTAACTCCTTGAACTATTGTGGGTTTGTATGGATGATTCTTATTTGTTGATTTTGACACACCAATTTCTCGTTCTATAGTTCTTACTGATGCACCAGCGATTTCGTTGGCAGCTTGTAAAATGTTTCTGTAGCGATTTTCATTTTCAATATTGTATCCGCTTATTAAATTAACTACCATTTTTCTAAACTGGGTTTTATGATCGATGATGCTCCAATCTTTTATGCACTTGTTAGACATCACTAGGCTGGAAATTTCACGCTCTTTTCAAAAATCGAAAAATCCAGTATGGCGGCCATAAGAAAAATGAAAGTTGAGGCAGGTTGCTGGAAAACAAAAGAAGATTGAGACATGTCATACACGCTATCTTATTTGCCTTAAACTAATGTCACATTTTGACAGCTGTTAAATTAACCGTTCCGGATTTACTGGCAAAAAACAAACGTTTTCGGTTTTTCGCCGATATTTCCAAAACCAATTGACCGATCATAAATCTGAAACCGGCTATCGAATGCACTAGGTTTCCTCTAAAACTTAAAATTTGCGGTAGGTACAACAGGAGCCGAGATCCTTGTATCGAGAAGCGAATCTGAGACACACTGTATAATCTCGCTATATATTTGCAGATCGCCATACAGCAAGCGGCACTGATGCTCGAACGTTTCTACCCAACTCACATTCTGCCCAAATTAGGTTGTACAGAGGAGCAGTTTTGGGAAAGTCGGAATCTCAGCCCAGGCGATTGGGCTGGTCTAGCTGGACTGCTGTATTCGGAATTATTCAGTTTGGACATTTTGACGCCGCTAGATCATGCTGACACCAGTTTCAGGCTGGACCCGCATCCACAGGTCGATTTGACGAGATACACAGAAATGGTGCAGTGCGCGCAACTCGGTAAGTATAACTTTATTACTGAAAAATGTTTCGTTTGTTCGACAATTTTTTTCAAGACTTAGTGGGTCCATATGATATTATTTCGCAAAATTTCATCTATTTTCAGTATATTACTTCTGTGTGCATTAATTTGTTAATGTTTTGAAGGTGCGGGAGGTCCAGACCTATTAGGCAACGTTTATACCCCAAGAGGCAATATTCAAGTTCATTCACCTTACTTGGACGTATCTGCATTCAATCCGAGGGCCAAGGTGTCTGCTACAGGAAAGAAAGCTGATAAAAAAGCGTAAGTTGAAAATGCTATTTCTTATAAGTTCACATTATATGGCAGTAGCAGTATTATAACAACGTTGAATATTAGCTGAGGATAAAAACAAAATGTGAAAAGTAAATATAGTTCTAGTCACCTTTCTTGGCAGGTCAAAGTGAGACTACCAGTATCCCTTTATATATCTCCATCTCCCTCATATGTACACATGCAACCTACCCCTATGTGTGAACGTTTGTTCGGTAAGCTCAATGACGTACGTTTTTTAGTTGTGTGTCTCCGTCTCGAAAACTTTGCCGTACGTATGAGTGTCCTTCATTGTCCAATCATATTTATTTGTCAATCTTCAATATAAAATTGTACAATGCTCGGAAATACGATCAATAGAGAAGGCCGACAGCTCGTGCTAAATTTGAGTATTTCCAAGTAGTGAATGAAACCAGTGGTCCCCTGTTACCTACTTCATGCGTACTGGAGAGAGTAGCAGATGCGCTGAACATTGGGGTTAGATGGTAGAATAGATATATAATCTAAATCTCGCCTCCTGTAATAATATTACAAATAAAAGACGTTAATTATTATTATTATTATTATTAGTCTGCGTCCATGGCACGGAGACTCGACCTGTTTACTTATTTCATATGGCGTTGATGACGTAACGGCCAAGAACGGTGACTACAACAACTATAAACAACAGTCAACAGATAACCGATAAGATCAGGGCCGGATGTTCCGTTGTTCAGTTTTCGTGTGCCGCGCGCACGAAACGGTGATTCTTATTTAGGGAAATAAGGATATCGTGCGTGTTTTCCGAAACGTTTTTATTTTCGCAGTTTGAGAAAGCAGGTGTTCAAGTTTCTTAATAACCGAAACATCGAAATTACTTTGATATTTTTGGTAACTACTTGCATCTGGATTTTTACTTTACGTATTACTTTCACTGTAAAATTACATGTTTTTGGGTCAGTCCTGCAAGAAAGGTGCAAGATATGCACTGAAGAATGTTTGAGAAAGTTTATTCAAGGATATTAGGATCTGCGCAAAAAGAAAAATATACGGTACGGTTTTATTGATGCAGTTTCTACATGCGTACATAAACAACCAAGGGTGTTTATACAAAAATATAGAAAACATTGCAAAAGAATCGGCAGGAGTATTACGGATCTTGGAAAGTGACATTATGTTTGAGATTACATAAGATTTTTGTGACATTATGTAGGTTTTTCTACAAGATGTCAACTTGAGACTAGCTGCATGAGATAGCGCGAAGCGCCATCTATCCCACCAGAATCGAACCATTGTAAATCGCGTGCCGCTGCTATTAGTTGGAACCGTCGCAGTTCCCGTGCAATAGCAGTGCCGCTAACTGGCTGATGATTCTGTCAGAATTCAGAGGTGTCTGCTAGCCTCATTGAACAGGTCAACATAAAATGAGATCCCTTCGTCTGTCCGACCAAGTAAAGAAAACAGCCAACCATGAACAGCTGTTTCGTGCTTCTTAGCTACTAATCAGCATGGAATAGGCTTGGTCTCTCTGTCCATGGTTGGCTGTCTTCTTTTCTTGGTCGGACAGACGAAGGCATCTCATTGCATTTTGACCTTAGAACTAGCTGTTGTTCACTTGATGTGCACTCGTTCTGTAGCTGTTCGTGTTTCCTAAACGTTATGACGCTTCAGCAATCAATGTTTGGCTCAGATGTGATGTAACATCTGCTTCAGAGCTGGCATTATTGGAGGTCTAAGGTTGTATACTACAGCTGGAAGGAAATGGTAGTGCAGTGAGGATCTGTGTTGATAATTCCATAGGTTTCCTGTCACTTACTCGATGTGTATGTAGAGCTAGAAATTAGTTGCGCTTTCAGTTTTTTATATTCATCCCGGAAATTACATATGCAAATTTACCGAATTTAAAAAATGAGAGAGATATGAAAGGAACATCCCTGGATGGTGCACAAACAACAGGTGAGAAAATATGCCACAAACACGAATACTTAGGGAACGTGAAAAAGTTTTTACATTTTACTTTATTTTTTATTTCCAGTCATTTAAATTTTATAGAAATGTATTTTTCGAAGTCAAATAGAAAATCCAAATCAACGCCTAAATGTGAGGCACTGCGAAAATGTTTTGCGTGTGATGTGTCATTCCTAATTTTTCTGTGATGTGGCTTAATTGCACACAACGCGGGCCCGGTATTAGACGAAAATGCCCATGGTTTGCGAAATAATTGTAAAGTTTGGTTTTATTGATGCAACTTATTCAAGGGGGTATTTAAAGCATGGACGCATAAAATGGTAACACCAATTTTTGTGGGATAACTTCTTATTCCACAGCCAAGAATGAGAAAACGTGTAGCTTGTATAATTTTCAAGAGTATTCTAATTGTTTATAACACATGTGATATGCCTCCAACATTCGCTTGACATTTACCAGTATCAAGTATAGTGGTATAAAGATCCAGTAAAGCAAGAGGCGTCGTAGTGTAGTGTGAAAGAGTAACGATTGCAGAAGTGCAGGACGGAGGTTCGAATCCACAAAGCTCCTTTTTTTCTATTATTTTTTTTTAATTTGGAGAAATAAATGCTCTTTTCTACCAGCGTGCGCCAAGTACTCACTTTCGACACGTATCTGCATGCAGAAAGTAGCATTTTTCTAGACGAATAACTTTTCCGCACGCATAAATTTCAAGTAGCTGCCTGAAATTATCGTCACATTAGCAACAAGTTCCAAAACCTGCATTTTGCCTCGGTTTTCAGCCATAACTTTTTTACTATTAGTCGGATCTCTTTACGTGTGGTCTCATTGTGTAGGTCTCATAAATGCCTAAAAATCTTATTAGAAGAGTTTTTTGGTTCCTGACAACACCTTTGATTGAATCCCAAAAAACTTTTCCCGCAAAAATTGGTGTACCCATTTTATACGTCCATGTTTTAAATACCCCCTTCAACAACTTGAAAACAATAAAATCAGACTTTACAATTATAGCACACTCCAATACATACGATCATCCAGATGCGATCTTGCTATTCAACCAATTTCTGTCGCATCTCAGAGATATACTCTACAGACTATCTCGGAATTCTGCAACCAACAAATCAGGCTGGAGAATTGACTTGTAGCATGGTCATTGAGCATGTCGTTGAGTCATGCCTCCATATATGACGCTTTTGGTAACGTTCATAGCGAGCAAACGCGGCATGAACTATTTGCACACTTAGGAACTATCTAGTCAGCAAGTTGACATTTTGTCATTTTTTTGCATTATATAAGTTTTTCACGTAATAACCCTGCGGGTCTAATTCAATATAATTTACTTCATGAAACTTAGAAAACCATTTTTGTCATTCCGTTTTTCTATCACCATTAATTGAAGTATTCTACCTGAAGATAGCCAAGTTAAAACTACAATCCAGCATCCAAAAAATTTTCATAGATGAACTGAGATACCATAGCGTCAACCATGAGAATTTTCATGGCTATGTTTTCCCTCTCCGTGATAATTAGAAATATACTTTCACAAAGGTGTTTAAAACGACAGCGTTTCGTTTATTAACTTTGTTTTTCCTTTTGCTAAGATGTAACCACTTTTCTAAGGTTAAGGTCTTTAGGAAAACTATAAAACTTGACGTCGCCTTTGCATTAGATTCTGTTTAGATTGATTGTCGGAATCACATCTCACAACACCGCATTTTCGTCACTTCACTAAGTAGTGCCCATAAAAAGTGTAAAACTATTGGACTCTCAGAAAACCACCGAAATCATACTAGTTAGGAAAACGGAAACAACTCCTTGAGTGACGTCACGTATCGTGGATAAGAATTGTCGCCATGGACTGTCATGATCTTAAAGCTTACTGAAAATAACCGGTCAAAATACAGGTCATGGGATTTTCATTTGACCTACTGTGGTATATATTAGATGTTGACATTTTAGTGTTAAAATCTGTTTGCTTGGTGAAGGCATGTTCTTGCCCCGTGAAGTAATTCAAGGTAAATGCCACTAAAATCGTAAAACACAAATGGAGCTACCAAGTGACAACAATAAATTGATGATGCCCATCTGTTAGCCATGCGATTTTATTTGCGAAACAATTGTATATGACATTCTTCACAACGTAACGTCTATTATTTACTTTAAGCGAATCTACGACAGCCTTAGGCTCATTGAAAGTAAACTCAAGGTCAACGTTGTGGATGCCATGGAAGAAGCATAGTCGTCCGTTTACTCCAGACAAATTAGTGATTCCTTTGCCAATTCCACACCCTGCACACATTGCTGTTACAATATACAACAGGGACTCTGACGATCCCATTCCTCTTGAGTCGGAGATATGCCAGAGTATATTGAGAGTCATAGAGGAGAGCCACACTTCACCTGATGACAGTGGTAAGTGTCTTTGGGGAGTTTTCTAATAAATTTTACTCACATCCTTTTTGTATAACATTTTGTGTATAGTAGTTACATCGAACAAACTTTAGTTTGCAAAGCATGATAAACATTGTATTTGGGACATTTTTTTTCAAGGTTGATATGAAAGTTTAGCAAATTATTATGCAGCCTACGAATTGTGAGGGTTGGTTGCCTGTTGTCTGTGGATTGAGGAATAGTTGAGAATTAAATAAGTTTTATCGTACAAACTTTGTTCAGGCAGAAAAACTGCAAAACATTGTAAGCCATCTAAATGTTTGCCTGTATTTTAAACGTCCAAAACCATTAGCATGCCTGAGAAGATGACACGCGATGACGCTAAATTTTCGACTGACAACATATTCTAAAGTCTAGGAAATATAGCTGCATATGCTCGGAAAAATATAGTGATCTGATTATTTTGCATAATCCTATTCATAAAAAGACCCCGTTTTAACGAATCTGCATGTTGTCAGACCGAACGCTTAAAGATATTTTTTGAACAAATCCGAAACTTTTTTTTGCTCTGGATAAAGTTATTTAGTTTTTTAGGTTGTTTTAAACAACAATTTTCCATGTAAACTTTCTAAAGTTAATAGCTGTCGGGATATAAGCTATTTAATATTTGAAAAAGTGCGAAATCTGCCATTTTTACCCCGAAAATAAATATGAAAAAATTAAAAGTTTGATGTTGCCAAGGTTTTTAAATGCTTTTCACACGCTCATTAATAAAATCCAGAAGCATTTTACTTCGTATTGTTATTATGCACCATTGATTTTCAATTTTTAATTAAGCGTGTGTTCAATGTATATTCTGAGTGAGCACGAGAGAGAGAGAGAGGTGTTTGGGTCTGGCAGCATGTAGATAAGTTAAAACGGGTCCTTTAAGAATGATTTTACAAAAAATAATTCAGAATATTTTTCCAAGCAGATGCGGATATACTTCCTGAGCTAATACCATAAAACTTGTCGTTAGCAAAAACCGTCAAGGCATTCATTCTTCCGTGGCAACCATACGCCTTTAACCCCATTTTGATAGGAACAGAACTTTTGATTTAAAACCCCACGACAATAGTGTAATGAAAACACCGTTTTTAATTTTTAAAGTCTAATTTATAACTTTCACTCTAATTTATAACTCTTGCAACTAATTTATTACAAAATGTATGACCATGTCGACTGAACTATGGGGTCTTGCGCTGCTGCATACATGTTGTAGGTTTTCCTATGCCTTTTGTGTATTTATTTGGTGAATTGACGCATTCCGATGCACTCCCGCGTTTTCTAGATAGAACTCGATTCTTCTTCGAAGCTGGTTGATGGTGGTCGATTCCTCTAGTGGACAATTATCTAGTTACGACGGCGTTTCAATATCACGATGGATTAGAAAATATTATTTGTGGATTTTTTTTATGTTGTGCTGATGGAATCTACGGAGTGTGGTATTTTCTAGGAATAGGTCGTATGAAAAATGGTTGTGATTCCTACGAGACAGACTCTAGTTCCGGTACGACTTTGGACAGTCCTCGAGCAGGAAGGCGCAGTACTGACGATGACGCTGATGATGAGGGAGCCATTTCAACAGTAGGCAGAGACCGTGCTGCTCCAGGTACTCATTCAAAAAATATCAATTATATTTTGCATTTATAGAGGTGTTCAACAATCAGCTGTGCACCAGAATCTCGTATAGCAAATATAAATCAAACCTGATTCACTGCTTGGTTGCCGCTCAACGGCAGGATTCTAGGTTTTATTTTGATACGGTATATCTTGTGCCGGGAAGTGCCGAGTCCACTTGTTGACATATTTTATTTTTTGAGATATGTATTTCCAAAATATTGCTGTAATGATAAACTATGATTTGAGATATTTTTTTATGAATTAGGAAACTTCCACATTTTCGGAAATCTTAGTGTAAAACCGTAACTACAACCGGCGACACGACCGGAGACTCAAACCTCCGTATCTATCCATAAAATTTTATAAATCGTCACAGGTGGAGATAGTAGCGGTGTATACCAGTGGACGCTGAGCAACTGGGGTCAACGAAGGCGCAACAACTCTGGAAGCGTTCGCGTAGATCTCGCTAGTCCTGAAGATGTCACTCTGGATAGTGACAGCACAAGGGTTGTTTTTTGCACATATGGTACTACTGTCTGATTATACATCATAGGGTAGAGGTTGGCTCTTTAACATAGTTATCATTCAAAGAGAGTCGACATATTTATTCATATAAACGACTATGAAACATCAAACTAAAATAGCTGCTTCACAGCAGAAAACAGACACGAATAGAAAACAGATAATATTTATTTGAAATAATGTCAGAATATTCTCGAATCGTGCATACAGCGTTTTGTATTAATGTCAACATTGACTAATCAAATAAACAGGGTAGCCCCAAATATGTATAAAGAGAAACATGCTATAAAAAATATTAATGGTTCAAAAATGGATCGAGAAGCTTGGAGTTTTGTTATTATTTCATATAGTAAACCTTTTCCCTGATTGCAGTTTTAGTAAACAATACTTCCTTTGCTTCTATTAATTCAATAAAAGACTAGAAGGATTCGAAATAACATTACAAAATGCTGCTTGCTCTTTCAAAAAATTATAATATATTCAAATTATTGGTTCCATTTGTAAAATATATTTAAAAAATTTTAGATTATAAAAATTCAATAATATTTGTCCAAAGATAAGATGCTTTAACTCTAGGTGTAACGGAATAAGTGGAACAATGTAATCTAAGGCGAAAATACTCGTAATACTAACTAGAAAGCAATAATGCTTCCCTTGGCTAAGTATTAAATGATTGGCTTTGATATAGCCCAGTTAAATAAGGATGATAGAATAAAAATTGATTTCGAATAGTTTTTTACCTATCCTTAATTTTTGTGTTTTATTTTAAAAATATACTTAGAATGAAAGGAATCGTGAAACTTGTTCGAATGTTATGTTTGTTTAAAAGGCAATCAAAGCCAGCTGGAAATAAGAGATTAAGCTGAAAATTCCGTTCTAGTTTGACTGGACTATGATGTGTGTTATTAGGTTTAAGAGCGCTAATTATTTTATATCGAGTTTCGAATGTAGGTAAAAATCCAAAAGAAGCCTTGAAGTGGAGATGTTTGTCCTATAATAAAACGCGTAGGTACTTTAAGCAAATTCTAAGTTCAATCGTGTAGTGGCAAACATTTCATCTTGCAGAACTTTTGCATTCGTTGTAATATCAACATCCTTCCATTTCAAACATCGCGAGCGTAAAAGTGGGATAAAAACAAAAAAGAATACAAATATAAATAACGTGGTTGCAGTCTAAAATGCTATAGATCCCATTCGGTGGTTTTGCCGAATGCCATATATGTGAATCCCGTTTCGATCTTGGCTGAAGCGCCGAACATTCAGCGGTGACTTCCATTAGTGATGAGCGACTACCTTCCTCACTACAGTCAGTGCGGTGGAATGGCGAAGCAAACAATTTCGATTCTTCTTCGCCTCGTAGGGCAAGAAATATCAATGAAAATGACAAAACCTTTCAGTTTTGAGTAAGCAGTACCCTTATAAGTGGTTGTTAGCAAACGTACATAATATCCAAAACTGACAGAATCACTTATCTTTGATTGGTATTAGTTGTACTGTTTGGTGGCAAAGAAAATTGATTCTCGAGTAATACGACGTAAATTAAGTTGAGACTTATTTTTTTAATATGTTTTATTCAAATATAATTATAATTTTATATTATTACCCTCAAAATAACTTGCTGAAATCACACAGGACGGTTCTTCCACTCCTCATAGCTGGAACTCCGATACTGCACTAGCTTTCAGCTGGTCAGTCACCGCCATTTGAATATTTTCGACTGACCCAAAATGAGTTCCCTTGAGGTAATTTTTCAACTTCTGGAAGAGAAAAAAAAAGACTAAAGTCAGGCGAATAAGGAGGAGGAATGTTTTTACTGGCCAAAAACTCGTTTGACATTGCTATGTGACAAGGAGCATTATCATGATGCAACACCATGTTCTTCTTGATATGATGAACCACAAATTTAACTCTCCCCCATGCCTGCAGACGTGTTGTCGGTGTAAGGTGGAGGCTTAAACCCAAAGGATTACACTGGCTCTACACGACGATAGTACGTCCATCTCTCTTGTACGGCTCCCTGGTCTGGTGGCCTTGCATTAGAACTTGGACAACTAGGGTCAAACTCAATAAAATTCAGCGTTTGGCCTGTATTAGCATTACAAGCGCAGTGCGAACAACGTCATTGAGTTTACTGGAAGCTCTGCTGGATCTCCCACCGTTGGATCTAGTGATTCGCGGTGAAGCGAGAGTAGTCGCTCATCGACTGAGGAGTCAGTGCAGCGGGGCCTTCTTGAATCCTGTCAAGGGGCATACTGCCATCTTAGTCGAACTGCAAGCAGGGGTGATCTCATTACCCCTAAATATCGCTTCAACCGCAAGTTTAATGTGGAGTATCCAAGGAGGGAGGGGTGGGACGCTGGTAACCGGAGACTCTCCGGAGTGAGCGGGCAGGTCTGGTACACGGGCGGCTCGGTCACCGATGAGAGCTCTGGCGCTGGGGTCTCTTAGCCTAGAACTAGGCTATATCTGCTTCTATGCGGAAATATTTGCGGTTCTGGTTTGTGTATCTCGCATTGTGGAGGAGGGGGGGAGCTAGGAAAAAAATAACAATCTTATTCGAGAGCCAGGCTGCAATGAAGGCACTAAGTGCCTGTAAGATTACTTCGAGGCTTGTATAGCAATGCAGGAAGGCTTTGGATTGTCTCGCACCGAGGCATCCGCTTTCGTTAATGTGGGGCACGCTGGGATAAGGGGCAATGAGACGGCCGACGCTCTGGCGAAGACACGATCAGCCAGCAAGCTCGTTGACCCTGAGCCAGCTTTAGGAGTGCCCGCGCAAAAGTTAGGAGGAAAGTGGAGACGTGGATTGCAAGACAACTCTCTCAGAAATGGAGAAGTATTTCCAGACATGTCCGTCAGGCACGGGAACTCATTGTAGGGCCCAATGCTAAGGATGAACGTTTCTGCTTATCTCTGGATAGAGCCAACCTAAGGTTGCTCGTGGGACTGTTGACTGGCCATAACACGTTAAGGCTCCACCTGCACGTAACGGTGGTGGCCGAGGATCCCTTGTGTGAGCGCTGCGGTGTAGAGAAAGCGACCTCGGCGCACGTTCTGTGTCGGAGTGAAGCTCTGAGATACTATAGGCAGATTATACTGGGGTTCATTACTTTGAACCCTCAGGACGTCAAGGAGCTTGGACTCAAGGCCATACACAACTTCACTAAAAAGGCGAGGCTTGAGATCTAAGGAATGTAGAGGTGAATAAGTACCAGTTTAAGGGGCCTGTGCACTGGCTCCTTATGGTGGCTGGAATGCCTCTAATTTCACGATTCATTCAACTCTCCCCCATCGTTCTGACTGTCAATCGACGATCTGAACGCACAAGATTGGATTCTGTCGATATTTGCATCGGTTCTTGTAGATGAAGGCCTTCCGCTTCGTGATTCATCTTCAATCGACTCACTCCCTGCTGAAAATACCTCAAGCCACCAAAAATCCTGTGCTCTTGACGAAACACCACCTTCGTAGGTCTGCTAAAGATTGGCAAGTTTCCGTCCACTGTGCCCAAGTCTGCATCAAAACATGATAGAAAACGTTCCTCGAAATTGATGTTACTCATTTTTAGAACATAATAGAAAAAAAATTTCACAAAAAAATCGCTACGGACAACCAACTGTAGTGAAGGCGAATCACATGTTCCCCTGTCTCCCTTCCAAGCCCGCCACCTTCCGTGTTGCTAGATCGAACGCTACATTGCCAGTCTCATCACTTAATTTACAGACCTCGTATTTCCACTTTTTCGATGATTTGATATTTTATATTAGGCCGATTAGTCGCCATATTCGACGAAATACCGAATACTAAAAAGGGGCGGAATATCGAATATTCGTGGCATTTCTGCGCAAAGAACATTGAACAGTTATACTGTATGTTTAGTTGCTCGTATTAAAGATCCGTCACAATATTTTTCCGTTGTAGAAAACACTCATTCAAATATGTTCCGTTATTTAGTTACTATTAGTCTGATTATTGAAACATATGTATGAGGTTACTTAACGTTAAAATTTCAGTGTATCGATAAAAGCAACAGTTGTTTATTTAAAGGCCAAAACGTCAAAGTGGGATAAAAAGAATAGCATAATCTCGAAGACCACTTTGCGATCGCCTCCTTCTGGAGCTTTTGGGAATATTTATTTGGTATAGTTCAGCAAATCTTGTCGTCTAAAACTTCCACAGTCTCAGGTATATCAACGTAGATCATTGATCCCCACAGAAGATAATCTACAGTTGTGGAATCGCAGGATATTTTTATACCCAAATAAATGATGGAATAATCTCATTAGGACAATGTCACACGATCAGTATTTACTGTAATCCGTCAGTAATTATCATAGAATGATAAGACGTCAGTAGGGGAAGGTGCCGAACCTTGGATATACAAGTGGTTTGTAAAATACTTGTTAGATGGCACAACAAACCATGTTGCAAAGCGCCACTTATCACACCAGAATCGACCACTCCAGAGACCAAAGTACCACACCATCCCATACATATTGATCTAAAGGGTTACGTGAAAATTTCACCGACAATGATGGAATGATCAATAAACACTGATGGTACGGATCACAGCAAAATAACCATCTTGTGACATTCGCCTTAACCATAATACATATAGAATGTTTGATTTTATTCTGCTTTAAAAGTTCTAATCATCTAAAAAATATCACTGCACTTTTGCTGACATAATTTACCGAACTTTAGTATTTAGAGTTCCGCGCTCTGTGTATAACTTGATAGGATTTCCTTTTTTTGTCGAATATATTCAGAAATCAACAACTGCACTAACACTGGGTAGTAGTCAATGCAAATGCTTTTTATATAGGATAAATATTAATTATATCGTATTTTGGTTGAAGTTTATCCCTTACATTTTAGACTGATGAACAGAATATACATTTATTCCGATTCCCAAATGGTCAGTATTCGAAACTACACATTAAAGACTAACTTACTGATGTTGATGCTGCCTCAGCAAGGCAGTCTCTACCAGAAAAATCCTAATAGTCCTGGAAGTATATTCGCATCTGATGGGAAAATATTCTGATTCAATTTTTTCATCAAATATATTTTAAACAATTCTTTAAAAAAAAAATTGCCCTGGTCAAGATTGAGCGTATTTAAGTTTTTTGAGATAATCTGAAAAAGGCGCTTCAGAACTTTTCTCTAAAGTTTATATTTTTCTAAATATGAGCGATACAAACTTTGAAAAGTGCAGAATATGCCATTGTCGATCCCGAAACAAAACTTTCTGCAGCACTTCCTAAGTATTCTTCAAACCTTCATGAACCAAAGCATTTCAGCAGGTATTGATATTGTAAACCCATGGTTCTCAATTGTTAACCAAGGGAGCGCAGATTCGTTAAACGAATTTATGCAAAAATCAGAACAGAATATTTTTCCCAGCAGATGTGAAGATTCTGCTACTATCATTAGTTTTGTATAAACCAGTCATATCTGTTGATGGATGCATGACAGTAATTTCCCTGTATTCCTACCTGTCAGTTTTTGTTCCAAATTTATCTGTTTGCACAAGAATACTTTGTCCGTCAGATTCACTTGAGTCAAAGAGGTTTGAACATATCTTAATCTGTTTAAGAATAATTAATTTTTGTTACTTATAATCTTCATATTTACTCGAATCTTGCTTAACCCTTTCTTTCCCAAATTTAATTTTGAAAAATAATATATTTTTTTTATATCCCAGATGATTAATGATGGTTCGAGGAATGATGTACTGAATGATTTTATTTTTTTGTATTTTGATTTTGCCAAATTTTTGATGACTCCATATGGAGTCATCGGGAAAACGAGTATAATGAATAAGGGAATGATAAAAATATAGGTGTTTACAAACGGAATCTGAAACTGATACATACTAAAACATAGAGAAACATTTTATTCTATAAATACACCTTTGATGTAGCCTAGTCATGGGAGATGGAATTCTTTGAAACAGTTCTTGTCTTTTGTTAGGCATAACGCCATTTTGCACTTTTCACAAGCCACTCTTATGTACACGTGACATTTGCGGCACCTCATTTTGGATTCTATATGGGTCGGCCAATGATTTTTTTGATCGAACCGAATATCTTCTATCGGCTTAGGGGCAACGTTTCTTGTTGTTTTCTTCATTGGCGGTGTTCCTTCTCGCGATGATAGCCTTCCTCTTCTTTTTTGGATGGTACAGGTGTTCAGTAAAGCATGGCCTATTTCACTTCGGAAAGTAATAAGCCTTCTGTAGTTGGTAATACCAAGTCTTTTACAGTGGCGTCTATATAGTAGCCAAGCATTTACTATACATATATCTAGTAGGTGATAGAATATTCGCAAATAGTATCGCTTGACTCCAATGTTTGTTCTATAGAGTGCAACAAGGATATTGTTGAGATCCCCCCACCCATATTGGTATTATATATTTTTATAATACTAGGCCTGGGTATTTCAATATAACTTTTTTCGCTCTGAGACCATCTTTTCACTGAAGTTACTGGCTCTACTCCTGAAAATGCAGAGCACAGTAACAGATTTATTATCAAACCACTTGACTGCTACAATATTACTTGAAACTTCAGTAGCGAAATCATATGCACCTCTCTCATCCCTTTTCAATTCTTTGTCATCCAGTAGTTTTAGTCCTTTCAGTCTGTTGGACCGGACAGTTCCAATACAGAGGATACCTACCGACTTTAGATGTTGCACTAACTGGAGGGAAGTAAAAAAGTTGTCAGTACATATTTTGAATTTTTTGTGCTTCGGTAAGTATTCTGTTAGTTGCACAACAACATTTCCACTCATTCCCAGTTCTTTATTATCTATTGGCATAACGGTGTATTTTCCTACATATACATCAAATTCGTAAATGATTCCACTGACGCCTGCTCTAACAAATAACTTTATTCCCCATTTATGAGGCTTATTTTTGATGTATGGTTTCAGGGAGCTATGTCCTTTGAAGGGAATCATTATTTCGTCTACCGAACTGAACTCTTCGGGTTCTGTCTTCGCAAAAATTTTTTTCAATGCATCTATATACGGTCTGACTTTGAAAAGCTTGTCATAGTTAGGATGATATCTGAGCTTCATCAACGAATTGTCGTTTATATGAAGACAGGAGCGTAGCTTTTCAAACCTATTTCTTGGCATTACATCAGCAATCACAGGATATCTAGTTTCCCGACTCCAATAAAGTCGATAGCTTGGCTAGCCTAATTATGTGCATCCCTAGGAAATGACAGATTTCGTCATAATTCGTGTCTACAGATGTTCCCATTTTTTGAACAGAGTAAAGATTGGTCTGGAGTACTAGATTTTCAATAATTGCATCATCAAAAAACGTCTTGAAGTATTCCAAAGGGGTACCTATTTTTTCCACACTAGTGAAGTAGATGTTACATTCTGACGAAACTGGATGAATATCACGTTTTTCCCATTTTATTGGAACAGGGGTAGTTTTCAATGAGCCTGTATTTCGAAGCCTCGATGCAAGCTGTTCCAGAGGTAAATCATCTTCGCTGTCTTCAGATTGAGTGGCATCATTTTCTTGGATCTCTGATTTATTTCCCATATCAGTTTGAAGCAGAACGTTTTCAGTATCTATGCAATCAGATACGTATTCTCTCAAAGGAAGGCTTGTAATATGATCCTCGTACTCATCGTCATCTTCCTCATTGATCTCGATATCAGATAATTCGCCTTCTAGTAGAAGAAGCAAATGCGTCTCTTCTTCTTCAGTAAGACCTACCCGTGACATCTAGAAAAGGAAGTGACGTAAATGGGTATCCTATTCCCAATGACGCCAAACGGCGTCATCATTTCAAAGGCTTCTCATATGTGAAAAAAGTAAATACACAATTCTATATCATTGGAACTCATTGAAAAGCCTTGTAAGTTCTATAAAAAAGATAATTATCATTAAATGAACAAACGCTTACCTTTGAATCCTACTGTATATTGCTGAATTGAACACGTTGATTCAAGTTAGTTACATTTAACCACAAAAACATTCTATGGGCCGCTCTAATTGGTATGTGGTCATCCAGGCGCCATCTATGTAGTACCGACGTTATCAGGGACCACGATATTGTAGATTTCTATTCATACTTACATCTGAGAACATTATTCAATTTTCATGACTCCATTTGGCATCAGTGGGAAAGAAAGGGTTAAGAGTATAATTTTTACACAAACCGTCTCTCTCAGAAAATGAATCATCAGTAATGGCCATCTAGTTTCTCCATTATTAGAGGCCAACATTTGGAAAGTATTTACAAAACATAATAATTAAGTGAAAAGTTGAAAACTGGTCACAAAATACCAGCAGGCTTAGCTGATCATATTATAAATACCGAAAAGTAATTTATTGCACTAGTTATATGTTACTGTAGTTATGCTTTTGTGATATTTTTTTCTAACATTATGGTTGCACGCTGGAATTTGAAACATTTTAATAAAAAGATTTTTATACCAAGTTGATTAATTATATATCTATTTGACTATTCTTAAATCTTCCACCTTTACTTCGCCATATCAAATTTCAGGTGCAACCACTTGTTTCAATTGCACTAAACTTTTTTTGTAAATATGTGTAAAACCTATGTTAATACTTATATGTTTTTTTTATTTTGATTGATTTGTATAATTATAAATGCTGTGAATTTTGCTATACATTCATGATAACTGAAATAATAGTAACAATAAAACGCATTTTGAAAAAAGTATCGGTTATTTACTTCACTGTTCTCCCACGATTTTAGGAAAATCGTTTTTGTTTTCGTCTATGTACGAACTGTCCAAGCTCCATTTTGTTTCTTACCTACCTAATAGCCTAATTTGAAACACTCAGTAACCAAAAGTTTCCTCTTGGCAATGTTTAATCGGTCCGCCTGAGAAAAGCACCTGGGTAATACGTCCATGTCTAGGACGGGATATTGAAATCCGCAAGCGTTTGAGTCGATGCGCTAACGGTCGACACCGTAACACACTTTGCTACCCAGACCTAGCATCTTCTCGACAAGTTTAGCATGTCTTTTCGCTGCACTCTCTAAATGTATAGGGAAATCTAAACGTGTGAAATACATCTAATAGGTGCGAGTTAGAAGCGTATAAATATACTAACGCTAAAAAATTGAGATACCCTGCTGCACCAACTGTTTTTTACATCTCAAAAAAAAAATCAGAAACAAGTAGTAGTCTGAAACGTCAAAACATTAAGCTAATTTTATTCATATTTTTTCGTCCGTAGTTCTGCAAAACTTTTTAACATAGTAACCTTGTGTCAAAATTTCATCTAAATCCGAGTGGTACTTTCCAAAGTATAGACGGTTCATGGATAAGTGGACACAGACCGGCACGGGTATCACCTATCTTGAAAAGTGACATTATGCCGACTTTTTTTGACATTATGTATGTTTTTCTACAAGATGTTAACTTAGCACTTAGTTGTACGTGTTGCCTAAACGTCATGAGGCTTGTTATCAATCTTTGGCTCTGTCGTGGGACTCCGTGTCTCATGGAATTCCAGACCTTGCTTTCCACTGTTGATATCGACTGTAGAAAGCAACTGTCGCGTTTTGTGGCACTCTGTGTCACAGTCGACTACGCTTCGGGTATTTTCGGCAATGTACTATCTAAGATGAAAGTATCTCATAATTTTTTAGTAATATCTAGTAATTTTTAATTTGTTATGTTTATGTTTGTATCGCATTGGCTCTTTTGACATTGACTGTAATTAACCTATCACCACCTGTGGCAGTGATTTATATAATCAAATTCAAGCGGATAACCAAATGGAAATGGTATTTACCATTTTGGGTTGGTATTTACCAATCCGTTCAAGCGTGTGTAGTTATCAGTTTGGTTATAAGATCCGTGACATCACGAATCAGCTGTCATATGTCATAGTTATGAGTAGTTCCTATGCTTAACAAAGTATCCATACCTATACCACAAGAATATTAAAATATGGCCATATAAACTCACTACATGATATCCACCTGTATACGGATTTGCTAATTTCTTTTTTCATCATTTCTGCTGAATCAATAAATGTTTTCTTTGACATGTGGAAAAATTTAGAGAATTGAAAGTTATCATAGCTACAAAGCCATGGTTCCATCATTAAAAAAAATCTGAAAAAAACATTTCTCCCATGAATATTATGAAAGGTTTCTTATTTAAACTTTCCATATACAGTTGTAGACGGAAAAGCACCGATTATTGAGTGATAATAAAAATAATCAGAGATTATATACGCGCTTTTCTAAAATAAACAACTTGCAACAAAACCGCGGTTAAAACCAACGCGTTCAAGCGATTCGTGTAACTGACGTCATCAACCCGCGTGTCATCTTGAACCATATTATAACCGCGGCACATAACACAGAAATTTTGGTTATTCGCTTGGATTTGATTAATGGCTCTAGTACCTATAAACATAGCTGCGATATTGGCAGTTGAAGAAGAGGAAAGGCTAGATGATATCTGCATCGAAAATATGGAGAGGAGATTGATGAGAAATGAAAGTGGTCCCTTTTCACTTGAGGATGTGAGATTCAAAGGATTGTTCAGGCTGAATAAAGACATGGCCCAATATGTTTTAAATGGCATCATACCTCATTTGAACCAGGTGCCGAATCCTGTAGCAGTACCTGTTATCCTGAAGTTTTTTGCTGCGCTTCATTTTTATGCTACTGGCACTTAGCAAAGAGTAATAGGCAGGAGCTATGACATTTCAATGTCTCAGCAGAGTATTTCAAGGGCTATTCATGAAATAACTAATGCTATAATCAGTATATTTTCTGAACAACTGGTACACTTTCCAAAAACAGCATCAGAAAGGCATGTAATTAAGCAAAGGTTCATGGAAGCAAGATGTTTCCCTGGGGTAATCGGAGCAATTGATTGCACACATGTGGAAATACTAAGGCCAACTTTGGAAGAGCATAACTATTTGAACAGAAAGGGTTACCATTCCAAAAATATACAAATTGTAAGGTTGATTGATTATATTAAAATATAATTCTATAATTTCCAAAAACTGGTTTGTGATCATGATCTAAAAATTCTTAATATCAATGCCAGGTTTGCAGGTGCATCTCATGATTCATATATATGGAGAAATTCATTTGTGAGGAATGAATTGGAAGCTTGCTATCATGGAGGTATGCTCACAGTGCTATTTGGTATTTCATAATCAAGGACCTTATTGCATATACACCTTAGGAAAAACCATTGTTATACATGGGAAATCATTTCTTGGCAACAGCGCATCGGCTCGTCTAATTTCATCGCTATTCGTACATATTTCCTACCGTTAACCGCAGACCTGTATCACGAATGAGAATAATAGGCAGATACGCTGTGTTGCCAATTTGAGTAGAGCTTCCCGAATTGTGGGGAATTTAGAGTTAAGTGTTGATTCATTCAAGCTTTTAATCAGCATGGCCTAGACGTTAGAACTTCATAAAGATAACATTGAAGCTGAATGCTGTTGGAGTATAGTGTTTCGAATATTCAAAGCGGAGCGGGACACTATACTCGTTCAATGGGTCATCAAGCCACAGTCTTTTCAACAAAGAAATTATTTTACGAAAATGCGTTATATTTTTACGATTTTGTCGTCATCAAATCTCTGTTTCTCAAAATGTACGTCTATTGTAGAATTTTCAGCAAACTAAGCAAGAAACGTGATCTAGTATTTACTCAACATTACGGATTTCTCGAAATACATTAAAAAATGTGACCTAGATACCTAACTGCCCCAAGCTCTTTAAATATAACACCTTAAACCAGGGTTACCAGGTGCTCAGTCACGTTGATTGTCATGTTGTACTGCGCAAGTCAGCAAACAATCTCGCGTAATAAACGTTAGGAATCATCAGGTATTGCCAGATTCCCGAATACCGGGCACCATGGTAACCGTTATAGTTGTCCTTCAAAGTTGTCAAATCGCCCCTATGGCGCAAATTCGCCACACCAGGCAACTGTGCTATAAACAAACAATGTTTATCACTACTATTTGATAGTCATATGGTAGTTGTAGCCCTATCTAGCGGTCCATGATTTCTATCAATACTGTTGTATCTCTACTGGCAACAAGAATAGGGATTACAAAATCATTTATACAACAATATACAAACATGAAAAATATGATTTGAACCATGAAACATTAATACAATTTTAATAGTTTGAACTTTTTTCATTTTTGGAATACTCTTATGTGGAATCCGCAGCTATTTTTCCCGAAATTTGGGTAGACTTAGATTTCTTAGAAATATGACATATTGGTATCGGCAACTCTGCGAATCCGTCTAAGCGGTAGGCGCCAGCGCCCGTTCTGCCATCTCTCTCTTTTATCACTCTTCTACTTTACCCCGTTGTCCGTCACACTCCGACGCTGCCAGATATGATCCTACAATCGAGTGTCTTTCACGCACCTACATACTTTTGTATATTTCCTTCTCTCTTCCTCATCATAATGTATAATATTTTTTCCCAAGGTGTATATGAAATATGCACAAAATCAATTGTTGATTGATATTCCTTTTTGTAACATTCACAGATGAAAATTATTTTTAGATAACTTTTTTTTAATGCAGGTGATAGACATTCATGGCTCTTAGGTGACTCAGGTTATCCTCAGGAACCATGGTTGATGACTCCTATCCAAAATGCATTGGCTGGTTCGCCAGAAAGAAGATACACAGATTCCCATATTCAGACAAGAAACTGTGTAGAAAGGTGCATAGGTGTATTGAAAGGAAGATTCCTCTGTTTATCAAATGTGCTCAGATATATAGTTTAGTTGAGTGATTCCTCCATAGATGGATGTGCACAACAATCCTAGTGAGCAAACGTGGAATGGCTGTTTGCGCCCTAAAAACTACCTAGTCTGCAAGTTGACATCTTATTAGTTTTTTTTTACGTTTTATAGGTCTTTTACATGATACCCGTGCGGAAACGTCCTGATTACAATATCCCATTTTCGAAATTTTTTGCAATTACAACACTTCCACGCCAGTTGGCATAGGAAGTAAAACATGATTTAAATGTACACGGGTAAATGTCACAAATCACTCATCACTTAGATAGTTTTTAACTGTTTTAAACATCGTTCAGCAGCTAGAAAAAATTGACTCAAAAAGTGCTGCTGGAGTTTTCGTAACTAGTGTATAGTTAGTAGTAATTGCAGGCTGTGAGATGACAGCTGTCATAACTAGACTTGTGGCGACGGTCGCCAAAAGTTTATGACATGTAGGTTTCCCTACAAGATGTCAACTAGGAACTGGATGTCGTTCACTTCATGCTCACTTCTGGCAGGCTCAGAATGAACTATTTACACACTACCAACGTTCTAGTCAACACGTTGACCTTTTTAACGTTTTTTTACATTATATAGGTTTTTTTACGTGATGACCCTGCCGATGAGGAAAACCCTACTAAGTAATCATGTCAATATTTGTTGTCAGTAAAATAATTTTTTTAACTTGAAGGTGATTTCACTAAGTGGTAGCATAATTAGTATTCTATCTTCATCATAGGAATGTGAAAAAGCGATTAGTACACCCAAATTTAGGCTACAAAAAAGCCTAAACGTTTTATTACATACATCGTACCTGAAACGGTTTGAGACAATTTAAGCGTTCTTGGTTGTTAAGGCATGTATTTTTATATTCGGCGCATTCAGAAAACAAAATCACTGCAATCTCTTAATGTCCCTGTCTATATGACAGAATCAAGTTTAGTATCAGATGGATGCTGACAAATGAAATTTGATATCAAATTGATGCGACCTGCGACCTTCTAGGGACTCGGAGGCAATGTTTGGATTTTCTACGTATGTAGTATGATGATGATGATTGTCATTTATAAAATCAGCTTCAATAATATAATTGTACTGAAATGAAGTAATATCATTGTGCTCATATTTATTTCTAGTGTAAAACCTTATTATTGTATATATTTTTGTCCGAAAAATTCCTACAAGGTCGGGTAGGCATACATCACTTATTTTTACCCAGATGGAGAGTTGTTTTTCACGCGTTGGTATGTATCTCAGTATATAAAAAATATATTTTACGGGCGGATTTTAATAGATCAATCAACTTTGACACTTGAAGTTTATATTTCATAGGCTACAACTTAAACGGCTCCTTGGATTTTGACCTATGAGGTGTTGTTGGATTTTAGATTTATAGTCTAGGCAAAATCTTCGCAGCTGATGGGGAAAATATTCTGATTCGGGTTTTTTTGCATAATCTCTTTCAAATAGGGCCCCTTTTAACGAATCTGCATGTTGCCAGGCCTTTTGTAAACACTTTTTCTTTAACAAACTCCAAATCTGCTTTTTTGCCACGGTTAGTGTTTTTCGGTTTTTTTTGGGTCATTCTGAACAAAAAACCGTATTTTCTAAAACTGAAAGTTCGTGCAGGTGCAAAAATCCGATACGAAGACGTTGTCACCGGCACTCATGCTTCTTGTTACAGTATTACTTAGCAACGTGTCTTTTCAATTTGTTTCGAAAAAATTGGATGCCCTTATGATATTACTTATGAAAAATCAACATTGAAATTCCTATTTCACTTGCTACAGATGTCTACTTGATGAATTTTGGCATTTTTAGATTCATCTTGATAGCTCAGTTGAAAATTCATGCTTTTCAAGTTTCCGCTGCCTCGACGTGTCGTAAATATACGAGTTGTTTGAAGAGGTTTCAGTGTGCACAGAGAGCTCAGTCAAGTGCATGAGAAATCGACTGTTTGCGTAGTATTCAAACTATATTCTGTGGCTTTCTCTATGATTCTTGATCATGATGAACGCTTTTACCACAAGTTTTGGAATCATGGTTTATCGAAATTTCGCGAAAAAATGAACTCTCGTCATCAAAATGTACCCGAAGCTTTGAGCGTTTAGTTTCACATGGTTTGCCACTGGAAGATTAGAAAGAATGCGCACTCAAATTATATTTTTTAAATATATCTAAATGAAAACTACTTACCAGCATTGACCGAATGAATATAGACAAGTAAACTTATAGTCACTCATCACCAAGAAAATGTTCATTGTTTGCGTTTTTTCGAGAATCACTATATTTATATAATTTTGTTCTTGCAAACAATTTAGACCACTCACACAATGATAAAATCAGGTGATGGTACACTTAACATAACCATATATTTAGGGGTTATTGCAGGTTTAACGCGTACATAAGAGTATATTATGTAATTCTGCACACAAAAAATCTTGGATGGAGTACTTTTTATATGGGAATTTGTTTTGGTAAAATACCATTTTCCAGCAATACCGTGACGTCACATACGAAACAAGTGACCTTGGGGAATACACCACAGGAGACATGATAGTAAAAATAAAAGAATTAAAAATGTACATATGCTAAAAGTGATTTAATAAATAATCAAAAATAGTATCTTGTAGAAATAATGGGATACAACTAAAATATAATCGTGTAAAATTAACAAAAATAGGCTAATAAATAAACTAAAACAATATTTTCCGAAATAATATGAACAATAAATAATCAAAAACAACAAATAAAAACAGTAACTTGAACAGTATTTTCTAAAGCAACATAATGAAGATCAAATGAACAAAAAATATAATGCAGCCTGTAAAAGTTCGCATCCATGCCGTCCTGTGATCGGTAATCAATATCCTGTGGTCTATTCTCCAACATCACTTGTCTTGTGTTGCTTTTGA